GGCGTCGCGTTGTGGTGTGGTGGCGGTGATGGCTTACCCATTCTGTGCGGTAGTCGAGGCCCTTGTAGTTCAGGAGTAGCCGCGCTGTGTATTGTAAGCATCATGGTCAGAGTGGGAGAGCCGGGTTCAAGGTGACGGTGGGTTGCTGTTGGATCAAGGACTCACTCTTCCACGGGTTGAGCGACCAGCAAGTGCGCGGCTCCCTGCTGGGGATGTCGAATAGGACAATTTGCTCTGGCATCTTGACTTGCTCAATTTCGAATCCTGCTAGAATGATGCTTTGTGTCTCTGGTAAGTGGCGATGGGCGAGGAGCATTGGTTTGCCATGTCTGAAGGCCGTGATAAGCGGCAAGCCTGGGTATTTGTACACATTATGTCAAGTCCCCCTTTGCCCACTTTCCCCTCCGATTCAAGCCGAGCCAAGCTCTCTCGCCCTTAATCTGACGATGCGGTGGGGTTACAGTGGCATCCGGGAACTGGATGCATGAGCGGACTGCGGAGCTTACAAACCACAGCCGCCAATCGGCTCTCCTCTCTGTTGTAAAGGCCGTACTTTGTAATCCACAGATAGTTAGTTATGCACACTCGATTTCACTCTTGGGACCGATAATCTCCCGAGTCTACACGCTATTAACTCCGACTTTGACACTGAATCCGCCAACACAACGGTTAAACGCACGTATGCTGTATGTGGCCCCCCTGGCTAGTAGTTCGTTGACTTAATTGCATTCGAGTTTAAATCAAATCCCATCGCATCTAATCGGTAACTAAGGATTTCGGGTTAACCTTGATCCCACCGTGATTAGCTCCATCATGTCAGCCCATTCGGGTTATTAGGTTATTACTTGGTTCCCTTAGAATAACACCCGGTTCCAATAGTGAGATTGCTTATGCTATCAGACACAACCCGGGTGTCTCCATGGTCCTTTGGCGTGGCACGGGTAGGGGACAACCAAGGCAAGAGGTAAATGGTGCAGCAAAAAAGAGGGAAGAAGTAGGGGGCTTGTACGAGTTAAAGGCAAAACAATTTGATCCGGATGTAGTTAGCGTGCTAAGGCCCTATAGGCCCAGTGCCTCCGGGCGAAATAAATTCCATCCATCCATCCATCCACGGGTAGGGGGTTCGAGGGTTACATGAGTGCTCAGAACTTCAGGGGGTTTCGTACCACGGATCCAACAAAAGTTCGAGTGCGAATAAATTGTGCAGGCCACCAACCCAAGCCGTTGTTACTTGGTCATTGAGTTTTGAATCCTTGCCATTCACCGCCATAGCATGATGCTACTCGTGATATCAAGCATGAGCTCGATACATTCACCGAAACCAGGGTCATTGTGAGGATTTCATCGAACCCACCAAACCTTGCACGTGCATTCTTATCTGTTGCCTCCAAAGGACCTCGCTTTTTTGCTGGCAATAATCTGGTCATGTTGATAAAGCTCCTTTCTCCAACTACTTCGAGTTACATAACACATTTATCCAGAACCACAAACTTCCGTAGCATCTTCAAATAGCTCGTGACTCGAGGTCATTCATGCTTTTACTATTCCCGCATGTGCCCCTTCTCAGGCCTCCATCCTTGTTTGGTCGTTAGTGACTGTTTTCCCATAATGCTAGATGGCTTTATTCTCGATCACACATTGCCTGCCACGTGTAGGCGGGGCGTCTGCGGCCTCTCTAGGTATGTATGATTCCCAAGACAACATCTGCTTTGGAAGACCAATTGATGGATGTGTAGGTAGGTAGTGAGCGGTGGGGCAGTTGGTAAAGCTCTACCCCCTGCGTCTAATCAACAAAGATCTTGGAGCGATGGGGTGCTCATGTTTGATGTGTGCTCAAGTTTGATGTGTCCTGACGACGAGGAGATGTATAGACTACCTACCTAGATTTTGAATATAAGAGTAGGCCATCGCCCTACATTCATGGACCACATTTACCAGCATCATACGCCAACACCCAAGAGCATCACAAATCCGAAATACCTAAACAACCCATCGCTTTTGCTCCAGAAGCAACCACCTACCGTCATCAATAACCATGCCTGGCAGTCTGACCTCCGAAAGGACGTGTTTCGTCGATTGGGACGAGTATCCAGCTGACGGTATTGAAGTCGACCAGCGTTTTCGACTGTCCGTCACCTTGACTATTGCCGTAGAAGAGGGCGATTCGGCAGAATTTCCCCCCCTTGAGGCCAGCCTGGGATTATGCTGCGGAGACGGCGAGGATGTATACCGTTCCCTGATGCAAGACATGACGGGGGGCGGCTACGGCTGCCCTACACTCGATCTCATACAGGGGAAAGTGAAGATGTCCGACGGAGGGAACTACTATCAGGTTGCGTTCGTTTGGGAGGACTGTCACATTATCGAGCCATCGGAGTCCTATTATCTCACGTTCAATCTTGAACAGTATCCTGAGTTGGGCTTGGAGGAGATGGCGAAACAGGGCGCAACATTCTCCTGTGTTCTGAACCTTGCTCCGGAATAAAGTGATGGTCAAAGAGAACGTCAGGTCCATGGTTTCATCACTCGTTCAGGGCTTTAGACTCGGCAGAGTGGGAGCGAGGGACCTCAAGGTTACCTAGGCACGGAACCGGGAAATTACCAGACCGGTTCTGCGTTGACCGCAAGTCAGGACTCACGAGATGGGGGAGGAAGACTCCAACGGAAACAAGCCGCGGGCGGCACGACGCGCACTAATAATGGGATTGAGCTTTTCTTAGTATCCAGTTAAGGATAAATAACTCAATCCGTTTTCCCCACCCTTGCTCTTGTTTACGTAGAGTGTCATTTGCGTGAAGCTGTATGGAAAGGGACTCATCTCTGGACTCAACTCACGTCGGTAGGCCCTATGATCACTTGATATACCAAGATTTCAATTCAGGTTGGTAGCGTAACTTGGAGCATCTTCGTGTTTAGCTAGCTATTTTGCATTCTTTCGCAAGTCTCAATCATGCTCACGCAGCACATTTGAGACCCGGCATGCCCATGTATTAACATCCCGTTGGCCAAGTTCCAATTCTTTACGCTCAGCTGTTGGTAATGAGGTCCCTTTCAATCAAGCCGCCTTATCCGGACCACGAGGCTCAGCTCCCCCCACCCATAGAGCAATTTAAGAAAGAGCTAGCGGTAGCTTTGAATAGATATGGATAGTTATTAACTATTGGATTCTTTTGGAGCCATGTGTATGAATCCCCAACTCCTCGAACTGTCTTTGTGAAGTTGGTTGGGCCGGATACGCCCTGATGTCATGTGCCCATCATATTGGCTTTACTACCTGGTAGGTAGCTCCGCCTGTGTCGCCTCTTAGAATCGGTCATTTGTTGGCCGTTGATAGTTGTTTGTTCATGATACTGTATGGCTTTATTCCCAGTCACACATTTTCCGCTAGACGAAGCCGGCCGTTCTCCGGCCTCTTTATGTTGGAGTCCTGAGGCGATATCTGCTTTGGATGAAGCACGCAGGGAGGCAGTTGTTGGAAATGTGTAGACTGTCTAGATTCAGGTATAAAAAGAGGTCATCCTTCGGCATCCCCCAGGCTAGGTTTAACAGCATCGCACATTAACACTCGACAGCATCATAGAGCGACAGCCAGCAACATCACATACCAACAGTCAACAACCCATCACTCGGTCTTTGAAAAACATAGCACTCCCTTATTCACAAAACACAGTGCTCGTCTAGATTTACCGATTACCGCTTAGAAACGATGGCGACCTTGGGACAGAAGGTACGGGCAAATCCAACGGATTATTTTACTGTGGATCGAACTGGGGTTATCAGGGGGATAGGCATCATTCTTCGTTTCTGGACGATGTTCAACAGCATCACGCATCAACAGGCGGCAGTACTACACACCCACATCCAACGCCGAACCACCCCTCCCCTAAAATGAAGAAACAAAGCGGCCCTCCAAAACAACACAAATTAGTCGCTTCTACCAATTCTTACTTGGCAACAATGCCTTCCCTAGCTGAGCTGATCACTTACAAGCCAACAGATTATATCACGCTGGCGCCAGCCCCGGATATCTACGTCAATGACTGCGGTGCCATGTCCGCGATCGTAGTCCTCCCACGAGGGGACGATGATTCGAAGCCCTCACTTGAATACCGCCTTAGACTGTGGAGGGTACGGGGAGATGGCCGCAATGTTATGGACACTGCGAATCTCATGGTGGCGGAGGGCGATGGCACCTTCGAGGATGGCGAAGTGGTCCACGAGGGCGGACAGTACAAGGTCAGGTTCGCCTGGAATTACCGGGTTACCGGGGCCGGTACCTATTATTTCGGTTTTACTTTCCAAGGCTATTTGACGACCAAGGACTATATCAGCGAGGTGGAAGAAAAGACGACCAGGTTTGATTGCGCTACCCGTACGGAGGCGGCCTAAGAAGACCATGCCGAACCTGCCAACCCATCGCTCATCTACTTAGGAGCCTGGGGGCGGCATTATTGGTCAAGTGCGGCAGAGGAGAGGGCGCTACGTTACGTTGGGCATAGACGGCTAGGCCAGGGGTTGGAATGCATTAGCCATAGGGGCCACGGGCAGCATTGGTAGGGATGGAGGAGAAGGGAAAGTCTTGAGTTTGTAATTCTAGCGGTGAATATTCAATCAAGCAACTTAACTGGTTACCCTCGCCTCGTGGCTGTATGTTTGCATGTGCCTTTGCATCTCATTTGCACTTGAAACGTTGGTGCCCCTATTGGGACGCTGGACGTTTCGTCCATGTTGGGCAAGGTCAATTACCTACCTACCTAACCTAGTTACCGACCTAGTTATGCATATCTCACACCCTGGGGCTCAAGGCAGACGGTCAACTGCTGGTAAAGCAAGCCAAGCCCTTCAACCAATATCTGATTCGCAAGCGCCCCTACCAGGCACCACTACCTATCCAATCAAAGTACCTATTTATTTGTACTGAAAACCATGCGTTCCCAACTTGACGATTCACTACACCACTAAATCATCACCGCTTTATTTAACGCTGCAACCGCCCAAAGGTGGCGACGCCCGCGGGCTTGTTATCCAGCACAGCCTCGATCTCCTCCAGCACCTCGGGCGTCAGCTTCTCAATGAGGTCGAGCGCCTTGAGGTTGTCGGTGAGCTGCTCGATCTTGGTGGCGCCGAGGATGACGGTGCTGACGTTGGGGTTCTTTGCGGTCCAGGCGAGGGCGAGCTGGGAGACGTTGGCGCCGAGACGCTCAGCAATGGCGGTGAGCTTGCGGACCTTTTCGATCTTGGCCTGGCCCTCGGGGCTCTTGAGGCCCTTGATGGTGTCGGCGAAGAAGGCCGGGTTGGTGGCGAAGCGCGAGTCCTCGGGGATGCCGTCGTTGTACTTGCCCGTCAGCAGGCCGCTGGCGAGCGGGCTCCAGGTGGTGGTGCCGAGCCCGTACTGGCGGTACAGCGGCGCGTACTCGACCTCGAAGCGCTCGCGGTGGAAGGCGTTGTACTGCGGCTGCTCGACCACGGGGGCGATCAGGTTGTGCTTCTCGGCCAGCTGGATGGCCTCGGTGATCTGGGCGGCGGTCCACTCCGAGGTGCCCCAGTAGTAGGCCAGGTTGAGGTTGCGGATGGCCTGGGTGAAGGCCTCGACGATCTCGAGCATGGGGGTGGCGGCGTCGGCGCGGTGGGCGAAGACGACGTCGACGTAGGGGGTCTGGAGGCGGGCGAGGGATGACTTGAGGCCCTCGATGATGTGTTTGCGGCTGAGGCCGCCGGTGTTGGGCTCCGCGCGGGCGGTGCCGAAGAAGATCTTGGTGGTCAGAACGTACTCGTCGCGAGGCCAGGCGAGCTCCTTGAGGGCGGAGCCCATCTCGACCTCGGACGCGCCGGCGGCGTAGGCCTCGGCGGTGTCAAAGGTTTGCTACCGAGGCGGGGTTGAAAGGTTAGTTTGGGCATTTCTGTGAGTGGGTTTGATTGGACTGGGCCAGTGGGTTACTTACAACGCCGTGGTCCCAGGCAGTCTGCAGAATCTCCTTGACGATGCTGCCCTTCTGGGTGCCGCCGTAAGTCAACCAACCGCCAAGGGAGAAGACGGAAACCTGGAGCCCCGAGTTGCCCAGGTAGCGGAACTTCATGTTCTTGGGCTTGTAGGAGGTGGGTACGACCGGTCCAGACATGATGGCGGTTGTTGATTTGTTGTTTTACTTTGGGTGTGGTTTGGAGACTGAGGTTGAAGGTTGAATTGGGTCGCCTCTTGAGACGGGGATGGTGCTTGTGTATTTTGCGGAGTGACTGAGGGGTTAAACAGCGAGTTATCCACCCCCAAAGTACTGCGCAGCTTGGGTTGCTTTTATGTTCCATAGTCCCCCCCGATGACGGCACCATTTCTGGTCCCCATTTCTAATCCCCATTTCGGTGCCTTTCCTGTCACGGAAGAGCTTCCCCTTCGACTTGTGGGTCGCGCACACACCGGTCGCAATCATTGTTGGCTGTGGCGACATCGAATGAAGCCAGCCATTACCCGCATCGGGTTTTCGGATTTTATTGCGGGGTGCCATTCGAGACTGGAGCTAGGCAGAGAGCAAGAAACACGCACGACGACACATCCAACGCAGACGAGACAGGAAAACCAAGAAACTTCCTAGGCAGGTAGTTGCATGCGGAGTACAGCATCGTACAGCAATTCTGCAGGTTTGTAGATACTACCTGACCTAGGTTCTAGTATGTTGTCAACGCTGTCAATGCCGTCAGCAATGTTTGTCATCAGAGGATGATTACTTCACATGGCGGGTCGGGCCGGAGACCAGAGGCGCTTAATTCCGGATGCGCATCATTGCTGGATCAAAATTCCAAACCCCGCGATCGGGGGCGGCAGTGGGGGGTAATGCGATGAGGGGACTCCAAAAGAGGCGCCGGATTGTGGGTCTTGCCCAGTTACACAACACCGAACACCGGAACCCTCCGGACCGAGCTGCACGGCGGATGCGCGGCTGTCACGTAATTCGGGCCGGAGGGCTAGGATCGATAAGGAATTGGGGTGGTTACTTGGCATCGACATGCCGGAGCCGTGCATTGCAGCCGACACAGAGACGGCACCGACCAATCTTGGGAGTTTCGGACTTTGCCTTGGTCAGGAGAAGCAGTATGCGCCGCTGCCGCCCTCTTCTTGAAGGGGGAGATGTGATCCCATTTGGCAACTACGGCAACTATAAGGTAGACTATTTATCGAGTCTCAGCGAGAAGCGAGCCGAGTGACATTCGGCGGCAATGCCCGTGATCCGAGGCCGCTTCTTCCAGCCTCTGGGGTGGTGCACTCCATGTGCACATGGTCGGCATACACTAACTGCTTTACCTACCGTATTTCCACAACCCCCTTACACAGACGGACCCGGCTGGAACACAAGTACCTCGCCAGCCTCCCTTCCAAGAGTCGTCGGAGCCTTTGTACGAAAGGCCACCTACCTGCAGATGAAACGGACATAGAGATGCACCGACATTGGGGTGACACCACCGGGGACAGGGAGGATACCACTCTGTGCCCCCCTTCATACTTTCGCTTTTTCTCATCTCCAAACTCACTCACCTCTAAACTCACTTACTTGTCCGCCATGTCATCTTACCGATCTGACCACAAGGTCCGTGAGTCAAAAACTAGCCCAAGGGCGGCCTGCGCCACAGCTTACCTAGGCTGGCCTCAGGCTGAATCAAGAAGCCGTGCCACGGCCGTAATAGGCGGCCAACAATAGCTGCTGCTGTTAGCCACTTCAGATTCTGCATTGAGAATTGTTAGCATAGTCATCGGGCGCAGAGGCAAGTTTGGCTGGGGAAAGTGTCATGGGGGTCCTGGCAAAGGCCCGGATGACAGCCTACGGCTTGGCGGGCTGTCAGTGGAAGTGCAATTATGAGTGATGCTGGAAGGGAGTTAGCTTGGCGTTTGGTTGGCCTGGGAGGGTGAGACAAGGGATGGGGTCAAGGAATGGGGATTGGGGATTTGTGTTCGGGCGTGATCAGGCGCCGGCAGACATGCATATCGAGGCAGCGAGGGAGGTGGCCTGGCAAGGGTTAGCAGACACGTATCAGTGGCCTTGCGACAACAAGGCCTTCCAAGTCCGAGGCAACGTGGAACAAAAATGAATGGTAGGCCCCGGGTAAGGAGCACGCAAGCTGAAGACATTATGCGGTGGTGCGGTCGTGGCTGGGAATAGCTTCCTTTGCACACCACCAAAAAACATCACGAGCGGCTGCACTCGCAACCTCGCTTCGCAAACACAAAACGATACCGAGGGTGTAGTAGAAACATTACCGTCATAAATAAGCAAAAATATGTACAACAGGACACATGTCCAGAGGGTATCGGCGCGCCAAACCACCAAGCCTCCTGAACGCCATAAACGCCGCCGTCTGTGCTAGCTGCCCTCGGCCCACTTCCGTCCCCGTGTTCTTGACCGCGCCGTCTCGGCCAGCGGTTTCTGTATTCTCGCGCCGGACTCCGCCGGACTTCCTCTCCTCCTCCGTTGCACTGCCGGGCTGCACTCCCTTTCCCTCCGATTAAGCTTCGACCGTGTGGGGTTGCGCGGGTCTCGGTGGGTGACGAGAACCTCGTCGAGGTCCCTTTGGGACAAGGGCTGCGGGCGCGATGGTGAGACGCTGCGATGTCGTCGGTGATAATTTGGTGATAATTTCGTGTCGGCAAAGAAGGACGCCGAATGCGCCTCTGGTTTGGGCGTCGGCGTCTCTGAGTCGGTGACTTCGGGTGTGTGTAGCGGGAGTGTGACCTGTCCCTTGCGTGATTTGGTTGATGGGGTGGTGTCGTCGGTATCGTTGCCGTCAACACCATGAGAGGGTGTCTCGGGGTCGGCGGTAGAGGTGGATAGATAATCTGAGTCGCGTCCACAATCGCACGGCGCGTTCAACCCAGCCGTCGCACAGCAGTCCGGCTCGGACTCCGAGAAGGACAGAGAGCGACTGGGGGTTGTATGTTCAAAGTCAAACTCGTGATGGGCATCGCCAATCGGTGACGCGGCAGACGAGTCGGAGCACATGGTCATCGACCGAGGCGAGGCAGGTAGGTGTTTCTGGGGGAAGCTCGGGTACTCGAACGGCTCATCCACAATGTCGATTTCTTCATCCTCGAAGAAAGACGTGTGAGAGTCTGTCAGCGAACCGGCACTGCTGCCCGCATCGGAGCTCGACGCCGAGTCCGACTTGTACCATGGGTGGTCGGAAGGGAGGTAAGATGCATAGTAGCGCACGAGGGAATCGAGAGACTTCGTCCGGAACAATTGCACGGCGTGTTGCCACTGCTCAGTGCCGATAAGGGAAGGGTTGGCGATGATTTCAAAGGCGGCAGACTCGAGCGTCTCGTTCAACTCGCGCAGGCGTTGTTCCTTGCGGGTGTGGAGGAGGCGGTGGAACTCGTCGGCGGAGGCGGCTTGCTGGGAGATCTCGTACACATCGTGGTGAAAGGCCTCGGGGTCGAGGATCGGGGAGGGGACCGTATTATACTGGTCGTGGAGCGTGCCGAAGAGGTCGTCCTTCTTCAGCCCAAACTTCCAGAAGGGCCATGTCCAGCAAGTGTCGGGATCGTCCATTCTCCGGCTGCCGGGAGCTGTGGATTCGTGTCGTGAGGTATAGATGAGGGTGAGGGTTGGATTGGGTGAGTGCGGGAGAGGAGACCAAGATGGAGAACCGTAGAGAGGGTATGCTGTCTGAGAGTCGGGCTCGCAGGTGTCGAGTTCGCGCTGGGAGCCATCTAAACGAGGTGTATGTTGCAGAACATCGTGAGTACTGTGGATAATAATGGATCGGGTTGGTTTGGAGGTTTGGAGGTTTGTCCGTCGCTTGCTGAATTGAGAAGCTCGACTGTGACTGGGCAAACGATGATTCTTGATGAGGCAGAGTGAGAGGAGGTTCGCTGTCGTCGTGGTGGACCAGGGTTGGGGGGTGTCGGGGTGTTGGAAAACGCAGCGAAGGAACGAAGGGCGAGGTGTTGGTTGCCCGATCCGGAAGACAAAACCGTGTGGCACGCCAAGTCCCGCGTTGCCGTAAATCGGGCCAATCATAGCCGCGCGGATCGCAAACTGGCTGAGCACACCGCCCCGCTGAGGGGGCCGAGATTCAGCGCTAGTGGCGTCCAAGCCAATCAACAAAGGTTCGGTTAATGCGGGTTTTCCGACGTTCCAATCAGAATGAGTGCAACCTGCGGCGGTGCCACCTGTTGCGTCGCAACCTTGGTCATCTGCATGCAGCATCCGCATCAGCGCCCAAAGAAAGGGCCCCCAGGGCTGGAGGGTGATTCCATCATTTTCTCAGCAATCTCTGTGCCCCCTCTCCTGATTTTCCTTCAAAGTCTCGGAGGGCATTTCTCTCTCCTGTGTAAGGTGTCAAGGTGTCCCGACACACCACTCTCAAATGCTAAAATGCCAACTTCGAGTCACAAGTTAGTCAGGCCAGAAGACGGACTCGCCAAACTGTTGACCCAACACGGAACCCGCCAGTGCCTCGCCTTTGGCCTCGGTGGATCCGGCCGGCCAGACTTTTGGCCAGAAATTGGGTGATGACGAACAACGAGCTGCTGGTGTCGGACGAGAAGGCGTGTCAGGGTGTGCGAGGATTGAAGGGTGTGCGAGGATTGAAGGGTGTGCGCAACAGACCGCTTTTGGCAAACTGGCTTGCTGATGCAATTATTGCCTGAGGCCGTCCATTCACAGCCCTTGATTTGACGCTCTTCATGCAACCTGAAATGGTGCATGCTGATCCGATTCCTGCATCTTGGGGGCGGCCGACTGGCAGGACGACCAGGCGAGGCAGATGACAACGGCTGCCACGGCTGGCAGACAAGCTCACCAGCTGGCACCATTCCAGCCTGGGGGCCAAAATTGTCAGGCCGCAGAGGTTGCACGTGCAGTCGTGCAGAATTCGGAGGAAATCAACCCCGCTCCCGTCACCCCGCCCCGTTCGTCCTGTCAGCTTCGAGCCTCAGAGCGCAGGCGTTCGGACGGTTCCCCAGAGCCTCGCCGTCAATGGCTGGAGGGAACGCCCTGGCAAGCTGGCAAGGCAAACCATGACCGTGGAAAGCCTGGAGGGCCCGGCTCGACATTTTTGACGGGAGCACCCGGTTCTTATATGAGACCAAGGGCTCGCCCACTCGCCGAGAGAAACACCTGGACAAGGCGAATGACGGACTCGTCGAGTCGCCCATGTCATCTGCGTGGGCCAGCAGCTCCAAGTCGAGCTCAGGGCGCAGCAAAGGCTGCTCGCTAATAGCCCACCACTGCCCGCCACATGCGATGACGGCCCGGTGCCAGGCACCCGCCGCCGTTTCTGTTCTGAGAGCTTCGATGCCATCTCTCCAATCATCCGTCGCCTTGTGAGGCTGATGCTCCACTAGCAGGGCTCCCCTCCACTCCCCGCGCTCCCTCACCAGGTCCATCTGACTTGCGCTTCTGTGGTCATCCTCTTCAAGACTGTGGCTCTTCATCACCGACCGAACCAAGGGCATGCGCGACTGGGAATCGCTTCTGGTCCGCTCTGTTTATCTGTCGCATCATCCCGCCGTCTTTTTCCCTTTCTATTTCCCCGGATCTTTCTGCTCTTCGCACCTCATGTCGCCGCGCCGTTGATTTTAGGCTGCCGCACGCAATCGCCGCCACAGCTCCGCTCGTTGTTTGCGCCGGGTTCCTGGGCCCAGCCACTAAATCGTTGTGATCTAACCACCACACGCTTTTTGTCCGAATTTATTGATCGCATTGGAAACGCGCCATGGGCGACATCAGGGAGTACTCGGAGCTCTCCGAGGACAAGACGGAGCCGTTCTCGCAAGGTGAGATCCAGGCCCGTCTGCAGCGGTCCCGCATGGAGGAGTTCAACACCATCAACAGCGCAGTCCCACTGGATAAGTTGGTAGTGCCCCCGGATGACGACATTCGCATTCTCATGAGGCCGCTGGCCCGGGACCGTACCGTCCGCGAGGACCGCAATGTTATGCCTCTCTCTCTGCGCGCGGAGGCCGCAGAGGCGGAGGAGAAGACGCAGCAGGTTCTGGCCGTCCGCCAAACCGCTCGCGACATTAGTTTTACCGTCAGCATCCCGGACTACCGAAACCCTGACCGCAGGCTAGCTTGCATCATTTACTACGATCCGGCCAGCGATAACCAAATTCTCTCTAACCGGTCCAACGTCCCGTTCACCCTGTCCAGGGTTTCTCACGAACCCGAGGCAATACGCGGAGCGCAGTACCAAGTCAATCCAGAATTCCACAAGCCTTTGACGCCAGGCACGTGGCGCATCACCATGGGCGGAACCGATTTGCTCGACTTCCGTCTCCTCGAGAGGCGGCCGGTGCGATTGCGCACTGCTTCGAGCTCCTCATCCGAAACGTCAGCCTCCAGCGCGACATCGACGTCATCAGGGTCCGGGTCCGGGTCGGGTGATGTGGTGAACTCGTCCGGTAAGAGGTTGTTGGACGATGAGGACGGTCCCATAAACCCCGAGAAGCGGCGGCGCCCAACAGACCCAAATGATAAAAACGAAAATAGCGTTATCCGGTTTCTCCTCGCATGCGCCAAAGGAAAGGAAGTCGTTGCATCCACTGGTCACCCGCTCTTAGACCTCCAATCCGTGAAACGCTCGAGGTTCCACGTGGGGGGGGCTGGTTGGTTACACCATCACCAAACAAGACCCAATTGCATCCACGACATTGTCCAGCGTTTTTACCGCCGAATACTCCGAAGCCCCCGGCCGGTACGTCGTCGCCAAAGTATTAAAAACGACGGTGCCCGCAACCGCCAACGCCAACGAAGGCGCCCTCGCCAAGACGGTCATCCGCCAGGCCCAGACCTGGCTGCGGGAGCTGGAGAACCAGGAAAAGCTGAAACACAAAAACATCGTGCAGATTTATGGCGGCGATGCTCGGTTCCTGTCCTTGTATATGGAGCCCGTTGACGGCCGTTGATCTTTCCGCCAGGGGTGTCTGGCGGACCAGCGGAACGGACCTCTTCTCCGGCGACCGGTCCGACGCGCTGCGCATCTTGAAAGACGCCTCGAGCGGCCTGCACTACCTCCACAGCCTGCGGCTGGAGCACAACGACATCAAGCCGGGCAATATCTTTGTACAGCCGGGAGCGTGGGGCTGTCGTCTGCGACATGGGCCTGTCATCCGAGAAGGGCGCCAGCACGGGCGGCGGCACCCCATGGTACGTCCCGCCCGAGTACATCGGTCTGCGGCAGCGCGGCCCTGCAAGCGACGTGTGGGCGCTGGGCGTAGTCATGCTCTACGTCATGGGCAAGATCTCGTGGCCCGACATCCGGGCGCACCGCCAGCACCCGCGGCACCTGTACTGGACCATTGCCGACGTGCACGAGAAGGAGCGGCAGCGCCAGGCCACGGCTGTCTCGCGCATGCGCATGTGGCTGAACGAAGTCACCGCGGTGCGGAACGGGCTAGACGTGCATGACAAGCTGGAGCGGCTGGTGCATGGCATGCTGGCCCCGAACCCGAGGGAGCGGCTGACCACCAAGGAGATTGTCAACCAGTTGTTTGTCGACCAGGGGACGGATCGGTGAGGGGGGGAGGGTGAAGATATGCATTATACTAATACCAACATTTTACCTCGCCATGCGCTGGGCGGGTGCCCGGGTCGAGTGGATGAATGGGTGGGTGGTGCGTAATACGCATCACGAAAATCCATCCCACCCCGTTGGAGATCAAACGCACCGCGAACCGATCGCAAATCACTCAACCCTTCATTAACTATTTCCATTTACCACCCACCCGGCCACCACGACCCATTTCATCCTACAAGCCCATCCCAAAAACAAACACCCCCACCAACGCCACAACCGACGACACCACCGCCGCCCGGTCCACCCCCCTCCCGGCCACCGCCGCATTCCCCGCCGCACCACCCGCCCCCGCCACCACCGGCGCGACCTCCACCCCGTCACTACTCTCACACTCGCCCCCCTCCAACACCTCCGCATCCGCCCGAAACACCACATCCGCACAATTATACAGCGCATTCCCGTCCTCCCCCACCGTCACCACCTGCAGACTCGCCTCCGACCCGTCCCGCACGGGCAGGTCGGCGGGCAGCGTCAGCCGCGGAACACACAGCGTGCCGTTGCCGGTGGAGTTCCAGAAGGGGTTGGTCAGCGTGTAGTTGAAGTTGGAGACGTCGGGCCCCAGGCCCAGGTTGACGAAGATGTAGGTCCAGGGGTGGTGCAGGTCCAGTTTGAGGCTGCCGCCGGTGAGGGGCCAGGGGGTGAGGGGGGAGGTGGTCAGGTTGCCGGGGACGCCGGCGCCTTTTTGTTTGAACGTTAGTTGGAGTTGAGGGGGAGGGGGACGGGGTTGTTATGGCTTACAGGGGTTGATCCATTGGGAGTAGGTGGTGTTTTTTTGGCTGCCGAGCGTGTTGTACCGCATCGGGGGGTACTCGATGCCGAAGTGGGCTTGGGCGACGCCCGCTGCTGCGGCGAGGAGGAAGAGGCTTTGGACCATTGTGGCGGTGATGTTGTTCAGAGCGTGTAATGGATGGATGGATGTACGATGTAATGGTGAAGGACACGGGCGATTGGTTACCTTAGATGATGGAAGTTCAATGTTACCGACGCGGCAGGCAAGACGAGGAGGAGCTGATCATTGACAAAGTCGCATCTCCCGGCAGGCGAGCATCCTCGCCTACTTATACCTCCGCGCCTCCCGTCGCCAGCCTCTGCACATGCCTAGGTCGGTTTAGGTCTCGCTCGAGGGCCTTTAGACACGGCTCTGCATCGTGATACTGCATGGGAAACCTTGCCGGGACCTTTGGCTCCCCTGCCTCCCACGCGAGCAGGTCCAATCAGCCTCACGCCTAACGACGCCCGCAAAGCCAATTGAGCAAGTTTACCACATGCCGCTCGCTTCTCTTCGCACAAGCTTCGAAGCCAATTCCCTTAGCGAGCTTCCTTCCCGGGCGCGCGGGTTGAGAGGCCTGCTCGAGGCCTGGTTCTTTTACCCCGCCTGGCCCGCGCTTCTGGGATCTTCTGGGATCCCGCTTTTTGGCGCAGTCCAATCACCGGCCGTTTTCGTGGTCAGCGCTGCCAGAAAGGGTAAGTCTGGCGCCATGGGCGCACACGGGCCAACGAGGGCGTGGGTGGGACGCGGGAAACTTGCTCAAATCGCCGCAGGTATTGTTGGGTTTGGGTGGTTGGTTCTTTGGTGCACTGTTTAGCGGGAGCATTGCTGAGGTATTTTGGACGCTGGAAGTATCTGTTTCTTGAAGTTTCAACGAGGCTTTCTTTGAGGGTTGTCATGGTTTACCCTAACCCTGTTTAAAGGATTCTTACATACCTAAGGTATTATGTTGTTCCTTTTGCATGCACAACACCTACATTGTGTGATGGTAGTTTCTCCATATGGTTTCCTATTACGCAAGGCTTTCCAATATGAAATATGTCGCCGACCATTCTCAAAGAAACTAACAGTTCTTCTGCTAACGAGGTCTTGCTCTGCCGTTGCACATGACTCCCAAGGCCTGTATGAGGAGCTTGTGTTTGGATTGGGGTCGTTTCCCCTGTTGTATTTAGCAATTCGTGGCTTTCAGATGATAAAAGGACGGCATGGCCCTACAAGCCGTACCTACCATGCAACAGCGCTCAATTGACTCAAATTGTCACGATTCTAAACAGCTGATTTTTTTTAAAAGGAGGACTTCTGACATATGTACCGTGAGTAAAACACCTAGACATGCCTTTTGCTGTGTGGGAGGCTGGGAGCCTCGAAATGGGATCCCCCCTTAGCTAGCTCGGGGAACATTGGATCAAAAAGCATTATTTTCCATTGTATGTACATACGTTGCTCTGACGATTTACTGCCAATGTTGACTTTGAGTGGTTTCCACGAACTCCATCCCTCCACCGATGCGCCTGCTTACAAAGGGGCGATCTGGGTTCGTCCAAACCGAAACAACCCCCATCCCACCAACAATGGGGCTTAAAACACTACCCATCCCCGCGGATCACTCAAAATACCGAGCTTGGGCATCTTTGCGGCAATGATAACCCTGCCCGGTGGTCTAGAACAAGGAGGGAGAGATGAAACACATCAAAGTCCAAACAGGGGCATTTACCCCTGAGACGGACCAAGGCTTGGCAGGAACCCGCGACAATACACCCTTTCGGCAGCGCTTGCGGTTGGATCGCTCGAGATCTTCTGATGCGAGCGGCAGGGCTCACTGCGCCCCAGGAACCCAGTTCCAGAGACCCCTGATACCAGGTCTCAGAACCACTTGATCGACGCGGGGCTCAGCACGAATCCAGGAAGATGTGTTGAAGATAGCAACTTTGGTTCGCTCTCACCTCCAGCATGCATTGTATCTGCCGCCGGGTTGGGTTAATTGCGCGAGTCTAGCTGTCTCGACCGTGTTTCTCGATCCTGGCTTCATCTGAAGAAGGCAGGGAACAAGCAGCGACGATCTGGACCTTAATTTAGAGTATGAGAAAAGTTTATAATACGCGCTTCATCTGCCGGTGATTCGATGATCAGATGGGTTCCAGACTCTTCCAGCTCATCACTCCATTCTTTCAGTTCCCTCCTCAGTCTACTGCGTAGGCTTTCACTTTCTTGAGCCGGTCCTCCTTCTCTTCTAGTCCACCCACTTCTTTCTCTTCCCAACCACCCATCACCATGAAAATGTCCCCTCTCAGCTGGCGGCAGGCCGTCGTCGCGTCCCTCCTCTTCGGCGCCCAAGCCGCCCACATCCAACCCCGCCAACTCACCCTCCCCGTCGGAGCAGGCCAGAACCAAAACCCCCTAGCCGAACTGCAAACCCTCATCCAAGGCCTCCTCGCCAACCTCAACCTCGGCGGCGCAGCCGGCGCCGGAGCAGGAGCCGGAGCCGGAGCCGGAGCCGGCATCGTGGTAAGCACCACCACCGCCGCCGCCGCCAACCCAGCCGAAACAGCCGAAGCCGCCCCTCCCCCGCCCCCACCCCCGGCTGCAGTCCCCATCGCCAACGGCACGGCCGGCGGCAACGGCACTGACGTCGGCCGTGGGAAGGGCAAGGGCAACGGCCGCGGCAAGAACAACGCCAACAACGGCAACGGCAACGGCAACGGCAACGGTAACGGCAACGGTAACGGCCGCGGCAAGGGCAAGGGCAAGAACGCCGACGCGGCTGCCGGCGCCGGTGCCGCCGGCCTGAACCTGCAGGACCTGCTCGGCCTTCTCACCGGTGGAGCTGGCGGAGGAGCCGGCGCTGGAGCTGGTGCTGGTGGCGGTGCCGGAGCGGGCGGCCTCAACCTGCAGGATTTGCTTGGTCTGCTCACGGGCGGGCAGCAGGGCGGCGCGGGCGGTGGTGGTGGTGCGGGCGGGCTCAACCTGCAGGATCTGCTGGGTCTGCTTACCGGCGGACAGCAGGGGAATGGGAATGGGAATGGGAATGGGAATGGGAATGGCAACAACGCGGCGGCGACGCGGGCGAGTCTGGAGGCCATGCTGCAGCGCGTGACGGAGGCGCAGAGGAAGCAACAGGAGCAGGTGCAGGCGCAAGCGCAGCAGGGTCAGCAGGGTCAGGGTGAGGGTCAGGGTAGGGGAAAGGGAAAGGGCAAGGCCGTGGGTGATGACGGGAATGATAGTGACAATGAGGATGGGAATGATAGCGATGGGGATAACTCGGACGATGAGGGTGCTGGTGCTGGTGCTGGCAGGCGCGTGGTGGTGCCGGGCCGGCTGAGGAGGCGGATGCGGATGGGCCTAAGGGCGTGAGGGGTTCTCAGAGCGCCTGAGGAGCCACGGGTGGGATGAAAACATGAAGACATAGGGCAGGCTGCTGGTGGCCTTTGGGTGGTTCGTTGACACATGGTTCGTAACGGACCTGGGGCGGGGCTTGTTTGGTTTCAAGGTTGGTTGCTCATTTTGGGGACGGCTTAGCAGGGTTGAAAATGCTACCATTTGTGTGGAACAATTGTATTTTATATGTCGGGATTTTGGGCCGGGACTGAAAGGCGGCGTAGGTTTGGAAGTGCTGGGCAGTATAGATGGCTGCTGTTGATAACGCAAGATTGAAATGATAGGCATGTCTGCGTGTTCAAAAAAGCCGATGAGAGGCGACGGGCCACTGTCTGAACGCTTTTGTGTTTTGTTCCGAGAGGTAGGATATGCATACCGAGGTGCCCAGGCAGTCAACTTGTGGTCACAGTTGGTAGTAAGATAGGTACCTACCTATACCACTGGAAGCGTGCGAAAGAAAGGCTTTGACAAGGCATCTCAACGTCATAAAATAATATACCTTACATAACTCTCAAGCATTGCTCAAAACTAGTTACAGAAGATGGCCAGACGATCAACCCCGGTAGGTCTGCAGCGAAATCATCATACAGTAAATCCAAGCCTCATAGACCAGAAGCCACCATCACTTGGGACCACTTGGCCCATTCCCGGCCGGCCCAACGCAGATGTTAGCTGTACGCCAAGGCCCGTTTTCTTGGCCTGTTCCTGAAAGGCCGCCGTGTCAATCGAGACGGCACGGTAGACCGGGCACACCCGTAAGACATCAAGCAGCGTGAAGGAGACCCATGGAGTGCACCGCTTGTGTGCGAGGTCCTTTTTCTTCATCCGAGATTCTCCGATGGCCGCAATACGAATCCCCTCCACCTTAGTGACCAGTCTACGCACACTAATCGTTACGTCTTTCTCCCATTGCGGAGCTCCGCCAGAATACCAGTTCTTGCCGTAGAGTGCGCGGTGTACGCCGCCAAGCATAGCGCAGTCGCAGTTTTCCTGGACTTGGTCAGAGTTGCAGGTGATGGCCTGAGGGTTTGAGAGCCTGTTCAGCACCTCTCGCAGGATGTTGCCCACCACCTCGATGAGCTTCTGGCGACCGTCTTCGCAGACTTCTACAATACGAGTAACAGTGGTTTAGTGATGGCTACCGGTCGCAATAGCGGGTTTGGGTACTTACTCAGGAGGCCCAGGTCTTGTAGGTAAGGGTCATTGTAAAAGTCGATCTCTGGATCGGTCTCTGAGAATACTCTGCCATCAGGGCTCTTCTGGGTGTGACACAGAAAGGCAGCCAGCGTTTCCCTGTACCATGCGAGATGCCCGAGCTTATAAGCGGTCCAGATTTGCCGAGAGAATGTGGCGGGATTGAAGTTTGACTTGGGTAATTTCTGGGCCCAATCACTCCAGCACGGCTCCAGGAGTCCCATCATGTCGTGCCTGTCGCACGTGGCGGTGAGATGGCACAGCATGTCCATAGATAAGACCGCCGGCATCCCAGATAAGTTGCCGTGAACCACCCGCAGTATGATGCGCATAGCGTCCGGATTGTCATCGGGCAGACAAATCGTCCAGGGATGTTTCCCTTCTCTGTGTCGGGGATCGGAGCGCTGGCCGTACAGTCGGTCATGCCAGGTGGCCGACACGCGCCTGAGGGAGTACGAGCAGACCAGAAAATTGGTCTGCGTTTCTCCGACAATCAGAGTCAAGTCTCCGTGGTCGTCGAACGACTCGACATGTGCGTTTACGGCGGAGCCCTCCTCAGTCTTGACCTGGGTAGCCGCGGTAGTGTTCTCCGGCTTAGGCTCTTGCTTAGGCTCTTGTCCGACAGTATTTTCTCCTTGCTTACTTGCCAGTCCGTCGCGCTTCGCTGAAAAGGTTTCTGCCTCAGTCACTGCTTGCGGCAACCCAAAGATGGGAGTTCTGGCGACAGGAACGAGGCCAAGAACAGGTGCATTGTTGGCGAGAATGCCGTGAGAGGTTGTGGATGGTTTAGGGCAAGGTTGGGTCGCATTGGTATCTGAAGCCGGGATCTCACTGACGGGTGTGATGTCGATAAGACCAGGCTACTGCTCTGCAGGAGGGGGCGTGCCGAGGTTGGTAGGGCTGGAACTGAAGGCCGCGGCGGAAGCAGCCAAAATCGACAGCCCTTGCTTGTCGAACGAGGAGGAGCAACTGTTCGGCGTATTGGAAGAAATGACCCGAGCTGGAAGAGGCTTCCTCTCAGGCGAAACGGGGTCGGCCGAGGACGCGGCCGAATTGAAAGGGTCGAGTTGGCGCAGCAAAAGCTCCGTGCAACGTCTCTTCACCGGCCGATCGCTGTCGCTGTCGGCGGGGTTGTCGAAAATGACAAGTTGCTCCATGTTTACCACAAGTTCTAGAGAGAGTAAAAGAAAAGTCTAAACAGAGCAGTAGATTTGTGGGTTCAATCTCGGATATTCGGAGTGGTCTGGCGGTGGTGGATGTTTCCGATGTTTGGAACGCGGGCAGGTGATCGGGACCACGATCGCTTTGCGGAACTGGAAGAGGAATAAAAAATGAAACCGTCCCATCCTGCGGTTGGCTGTTAAATGGACTTGGGGGAAGGAGGAGGGAGGATTCCTTCCCCAGCCTGCGAACTTCGCCAAATCACTCAATGCCCCACGCCCTGCCATTATTAAGGCAGTTGTTGCCGCTCTGACTGCGCGTGTGTGCGTGTAACACATAGAGTTTGGATCGCTTCAACGTCCTCAATCCATGCCCGCCCATCCCACCGTCTGCGCGATAATCCCCCAATCAATTAAATATTAGTTATTAGGTAACTAGATGTTTAAGTAAATACTAATCTAGGTAGATATCTAATTAGATGCTGTGCGTAACAATGGTTGTCAACTGCCTCGGCCACATTAATACCCATTTATGATACCGACCTGCTTGCCTCGGCTCGCCATACAGTGCATCGTAATTCCATAACCAGTCCCCATCATAAGTCAGCATGGAGATAATATTTTGTCGGTCGGTCAAGGCCGGACTTTTCTGCGTGCTTCATTAGGTTATTGGTATAACTCCGAGCAAGGCTGTCATCCTCGGGCAGCATCCGCTGTTTGAAAGCCCGAACATGGTCCTCGGGCCAACAATCGAAGTGGGCAGAACGTGGGTGCCTAACCCGCGTCGCAAGGGTAGCGTCGGCGTGGTCTATAATCTTGTCGAGGATATCGGTTTCCATTTGATGCACGCTTAAGGTGAGGGTTTTGGCGAGGTTGGCCGTCCCCTTTCGGCTACGGTACCAATACTCAACCTTGACCGCCGCCATCGCCTCTCGGAGTGCGCGGAGTAATGTCCGGTCGCAAAACGCTGCCCCCTTTGCTGCCTTGCACACACGGGCTGCCGTCGGGTTTGGGCGGAGGGATGCTATGGCGTCCCTGATTTTGGTAAGCATCGTCTCCAGTATTCTAAGCCGCGCTTCTTTGATCTCTTCTATACCACAGTTAGTGTAGGTGCCGTAAGGTGGTTACACACGGGGCCAAAGGTTGGGAAGAACAAACCAATCGTGCTGGTATTTATGAATCTGAGATATTCGTCCGAATCGAGATAGACATTTTCCGTCTCTGGATCCTCGGAATCCCCGATTGTGATCCGTGGCCGTCCATTGCTGCCTAGGCCTGTACGGTGCATCAGGGTGCAGAGGCCTGAACGAAACTGATCCCCCCAGCCCAGCGTATAACACAACCAGAGGTATTGAACGACTCGACGTGCAGGCGCACGCAAAAGGACGGACGGATTAGTTTCGGAACTTATGGATCTCCAGGAGCAGAGCCAAAGGCTCCAAGATTGCTTCAAAGCCGCAATCATGTCATATTTGTCCGATAACACCACGAGTGACAAGATCAAGTCAAAGTGCGGTCTGGGTTTACCCGGTAGGGCGTCGGGTATTCCATGAATGATGGAGAGAATAATTCTGAACCCGTCGGCGTCGTCTTCGGGGAGGGTCACGGTCCACTCGTCGCCTTTCTGTTGAGCTTTCCCTTCGCGAAATGGGCCGTATAACATGATGTCCCAGACAGGGGAAGAACGGGCAAGAGTGCGAGAGCAGACCTGAAATGTAATCATCGAGTTGTTTTTCCAGAGGATGAGTTCCAGGTCGCCATGACGATCGAACACTTCGGTAGTCGTGTAATCTGATTTTTGATCCATGTTGCTTTTGGCCATTTAAGCAATAGTTGTAAGTAATGGTTGGTGAGTGCTTCGGTAGGAAACTTGAATAGATGATGAAATGGGGTAAACGGGAATGGTGAGTGCAAAATTTTCTTGGGGAAAGTTGCACTTAGGTCAAATTAAATAGACGATGGCCAGTGACCGTCTGATCTCAAGTTGGTGAGCTAGCGTCAAATGGTGACGACAATGGCAAAGACAACAAATAATCAACAGAGACAATTTCATTTGCATATGACGTAACTAGTCATACGACGCAGTATTACATGTAATCAATATATTGAGATGGGACTTTAAGATGATTGAGGTTTGTGATTGTCAAGTTCAGATCACGGTTTGAGTGTTTGTGTTGCCCGTTACTAACTCTCAACGGGCAGCAAATGCCTGGCTGTTTGCGTCATCAACAACAATCCGATCTTTAACATCAACTTGGGTTGCTTAACGTCATGGTAAAAAAACTGAAAAGTGCATGTGACAACCATGAATGACTCGCTCCTTTTCCGGTCCCTACCTCAGTCAACACAGCTGGGAAAGGGATCACTCCAGTCCCGTTGGCCAGGTCATAAACTTGTTTGGTAGGCTGACGCGTTAGACGTCAATCTAGGTACCCTACCGAGGGAAGCAAGTTGTTATGCTACGTTAATTGTGGAGGGCGCTCAGTCGTTGTGCTGTCAAACCGGAGACACCGAGCTCTATTGACTGTCAACCTTCCTCGATGATATGATGTTACGCGCCGAAGGGCGTGTTGCGGGGTCGTCGAACTATGAGATCTGTATTCATACACCACTTCAAGATCCCCTATGTCAGCTTCTCGGAGCCGTCTTGGTCACGGCCCGGCGTTGTGGATTCCGCCCGGCACTTGTTCCAAGGCCGGAAGGTTACATGCGGGTACATACCCAATGGCTAGCCGCGCCAATCATGATCTCCATACTATGCTTCGGCCATTCCTCCGCCATTCCACCACCAACTCAAAAGGCACTACAGGACGCCGCCTCACTCAGCTCCTCCAATGACGACGGAGTGACTGTTTTCCGCTAATAGGGTGTTTCCAACGCCGCCGCCTCCTATTCACGGCGGTGGATTTCCCGTGTTGGCGGCAATTCGGGCAGGGGATAAGAAACGCCGAGGTTACCAGTTGCGGATTTGCTTGCGAATTATCCAACTTGTCGTACTGCCGTTGTGCAGACAGGCAGATCATTATGGGCATGGTTCCACAATCGTTGCAGTCCATTTACCTATGGCCATGGCCAGCCATAAGGGGATATAAGATCGGGACGCCTCCCAAGTCTCATTTCGCCAGTCTGGTCCCTTACCGCCGGGAACAATATCTCGATTGACAACACACCGAGAGATATCACACCGCCATGCTATCTTCCAGTCTCGCCGGACTGCTATTGCAGGTGGGCCTCCTCGCGGGGGTCCAGCCCGCCGCCGCCCAAACGTCTGGCCCGCAGCCCTTCGACCTGAGCACCATCTCCCTAACCAACAGCCGGTGGATGGACAACCAAAACCGCACCGTCAGCTACCTCAAATGGGTCGACGTCAACCGGCTGCTGTACAACTTCCGGGCCAACCACCGACTGTCAACCCAGGGCGCCAGCGCCAACGGCGGCTGGGACGCGCCCAACTTCCCCTTCCGCACCCACGCGCAGGGGCACTACCTCACCGCGTGGGCCTTCTGCTACGCCTCGCTCCGGGACACCGAGTGCCGCGACCGCGCGGCCTACTTCGTGGCCGAGCTCGCCAAGTGCCAGAAGAACAACGGCGCGGCCGGGTTCAGCGCGGGCTACCTCTCCGGGTTCCCCGAGTCCGAGTTTGCCGCGCTCGAGGCGCGCACGCTCAACAACGGCAACGTGCCCTACTACGCCATCCACAAGACCATGGCCGGCCTGCTGGACGTGTGGCGGCACCTGGGCGACACCAACGCGCGCGACGTGCTGCTGGCGCTGGCCGGGTGGGTCGACTCCCGCACGGGCAAGCTGAGCTACCAGCAGATGCAGTCGATGCTGGGCACCGAGTTTGGCGGGATGAACGACGTGCTGGCGGACCTGCACAAGCAGACCAAAGACGAGCGCTGGCTCAAGGTGGCGCAGCGGTTCGACCACGCCGCCGTCTTCGACCCGCTCGCGGCCGGGCGCGACCAGCTCAACGGCCTGCACGCCAACACGCAGGTGCCCAAGTGGATCGGGGCGGCGCTCGAGTACAAAGCCACGGGCTCGACGCGGTACCGCGACATCGCCAAGAACGCGTGGGAGCTGACGGTCGGCGCGCACACGTACGCCATCGGCGGCAACAGCCAGGCGGAGCACTTCCGGCCGCCCAACGCAATCGCGGGGTACCTGCAGAAGGACACGGCCGAGGCGTGCAACACGTACAACATGCTGCGGCTGACGCGCGAGCTGTGGCCGCTCGACGCGGCCAGCACGGCCTACTTCGACTTCTACGAGCGCGCCCTGCTCAACCACCTGCTCGGGCAGCAGGACCCGGCCAGCCACCACGGCCACGTCACCTACTTCACTCCGCTCAACCCGGGCGGGCGGCGCGGGGTGGGGCCCGCCTGGGGCGGCGGCACGTGGAGCACCGACTACGACTCGTTCTGGTGCTGCCAGGGCACGGCGCTCGAGACCAACACCAAGCTGATGGACTCGATCTACTTCCACGACGAGGCCGCCTTGTTCGTCAACCTGTTCACGCCGTCGGTGCTCAAGTGGGCCGCGCAGAACGTGACGGTCACGCAGGCGACCGACTTCCCCGCGGGCGACACCACCACGCTGACCATTGGGGGCCAGCCCGGCGAGAGCTGGGACCTGTTCGTGCGCATCCCCTCGTGGACCACCGACCAGGCCGAGATCAGCGTCAACGGCGAGAAGGCCAACATCGACACCAAGCCGGGCACGTACGCGGTGATCCAGGACCGGGCGTGGAAGGCCGGGGATAAGGTGACGGTGCGCCTGCCCATGACGCTGCGGACGGTGCCGGCCAACGACAATCCCAATGTTGCGGCGGTGGCGTACGGGCCGGTGGTGTTGTCTGGTGATTACGGCAGTGCGTCGTTGTCGTCGATGCCGACGCTGAGCCTGGACTCGGTGCGTCGTGAGGGGAGCGGGGGGCTGACGTTCACGGCGACGGCGGGTGGGAAGACGGTGAAACTCAAGCCGTTTTACGATGCGCATGGCATCAACTACAACGTGTACTGGACCACGCAGGGGAAATTGCCGGCCTAGGCTGGCTGAAGAGGGCGATACGGGCGGCGTAGCGGGTTTCCTGCGCGTACGGTGTAAACAGACCTAGGTAGACTAAGAATGTATTATCTGGACAGGCCGGCGGACGACTTTGACCATCAGCAGGAGACGACGGGTGGGTTCAGGGGCCAAGATTTGCCCAGCGTTCCAAATGTGGGCCGTTCCAAATGGGGGGTGCTTGACTTATTCCGGAACGGAACCCTAAGGAGGCACGACGGTCTCAGCAAGGCGAAGAGCTCACTGCTGATTCAAATCCGGACGGGAGCAATAGGCTTACGGGACTTCTTGTTTAATTACACGGGGAGTCCCGGAGGTTCTGACTCCTGCCTGCGAGTGTGGCGAAGGACGAGAGACTGCCGAACACCTGGTAGTGTGATGTTTAGCCCCACCGTTGACTCGAAGATGGGAGAGAACTGGGATTCGGACACGACGGGACTTTTACTCTGTTCTACACGGCATCAATCCCACGACTGCACGGCTCGCGAGGAGGATCCTCGACTGGCTGATGGACTCGGGGAAGCTGCCGATGTACAGCTTAGCCAGGAGGCTCGAGCTGGAAGCGGCGGCCTGAAACGCCCCCGTCCGGAGGCCAGGAGGCCTCCTCTCTTTGTATACGCAGACTCACCAGAACGCATCGTTCCTTGATTGTTGGTATGGGTTTTTCACCCGGCCCGGGAGGGCACGGTTTTCCTGTACACTAAATAGCAGAGAGTCCGGCACGCCCTAGGGCATAGCGGAGTATGAATAATAATATTTCAGCTGATTGGCTCTCTCGATAACTACGGCACAGCTTCCATCATCATCGAAGGCAAACTTCACAAGCAACCCGATATCCAATTCCGCCCGTCAGGCAATCCACCTCTTTTCGTTACCGAGGTCTCGTAGAGTGAGCGTCGGCAGCACATAAAAACGAAGGTGTGCGAATATATCGAGTCTTCGGACGGTGCAATCCTTACCGCTTTGATCTTTGATCTAGAATACCCCGACCCGAAGAAGGCATGGGTTGGCCTCCTTGTAGCAGACGCATCCTCTAGCCGCTGGGTCCATGATTTCGACCTCTTCTATGACGATGACCTCGTTTAACAGCTTGTCGGCCAGGTTGATCTGTACCTTTCCGACTTCGTTGGTTTTGCCGGCGTGCCGGTGGAGTTCTGTCGCCCTTCAAAGGCGGACTTGGACGCTGGCATCTCCAGGTTTGTCTCCTCCCTTCAGTTAGAGTATAGAGCCTAACTCTTTATCAGACGGGGCCAGATCGTCCTGACAGACGAGCGATTTGCGCCATCTTTCGGACTGCTCGCCATGGCCACGACTCGACAAAGTTTCCCATTGCGGACTGCGACAAGGCGGAGAACGCAATCTTGCGGATCATTAGGAAGTGGGACGAGTCGGAGTGCCAAGCAATTGGCTGAAGAGCGGAGGAGGGTCCGGTTGTTTATAGCATGTCTCCCCTGTCTTGTTGTGTATTATCTCACTCGTGATCTCGCCTGACCGTTCGGCCAAAATGGCGCGAGAAGGCAGGTCTGACAGGACTGGGCCGCATCATGATAACCCAGCGGAATACCAGCAATTTAGCCCCTTATTCATCATGTGCATCAAGACTCTAAGCGCTTCGGAGTTTGTGTTGCTGACACTTTTGCCCTGGTTTGATTGCCAGTGTGTGACTTGTTGGAAAGCCAACAGCTACGAATTGACTGTACCAAGGTGATTTGGGTGCCAAAAGGTGATGAAAGAGGGGCAACCAGTTCATTGATGATGATGTCTGTGTCTCTGTGTCTCTGTCTTGTTCCCACTGCCGCGGGCCTCGCCTTGATCCTGAAAATACTAATGCCCAGCCACTAGTTACCCCTGAATTGCCCCTCCTCACCGCCTTCCAAATCCAACATGACTTGTGCTATAACTCCCCCTGTGCCGGGGACATTGCCCTCTGCCCTTACCACCAGCGCTGTCAACAGGTCAGACCTTCGAGGCATCACGAATTTAACAATGCCGCCCACGCAGCTCCCAATCCTGACGATACTCTCATCATTCTGCGCACCAATGCTACCGGGGATGATACAGACCCCTTGGATTTCTCACCCGATGCTTTTCTTCGCTGACTACCTAGGTGCGTTGGAAGCGTACCTGTTCCTGTTCCCGCCACGGATGGGAGAGGACCTCTGAGAAATCCCTACTACACAGTTCTAAACGAAATAAGATGGTTGACGCGCTAGACTGCAGCTTCTGTATCTTGGCGCAAGCGCAGGGCCAAGTTGCTGATTGTACCAAGCTGCATAGTGAGGCCCGTCTCGGTCAGGCGGAGGCTCGTAGACGCCGAGCCCTTCACGCCCTCATAATAGTGTATTGCATGGCGTAACTGGCTCTCAGCTTCTGCTGTGCATTCTGGACGCTATTAGTGCTCCTATGCGAGGAACGAGCTTTCTCGCTATTCGACATACTTTCAACCGCCTTGAGGTAAACACTCCGCATAATGTCGCCGAATCGCTTGACCTCTGGCAATGTGTCGTAGGCAATTACTTTTGTCGCTGAAGGGAAGGAATCCGGTCTCTGGTCGTCTGCACCTGTCAGCTAGGAGACTGTAATAGATAGGACGAGAAGAAGGCACGAACCTGTTGAGGGAAGTAGTTTGAGCGCCTCGAGAATGCCGCATTCCTCAACCTGGTGAGGCAGCATTGCAATGAGGTTACCTGCCACAGGCAGGCTCCAGCGGGGTCCAAAGAGTTTCGCGATCGCCACCGCCGCCTCTAGTTCTTCCTTATTTCTTCCCAACCCTGCTGTCTTCTTCTGGTAAAAACCCTCTCGGAGTTCGATCACGGGATTAGCCCACGGCGGCTGGGGTTCCGGAGTCCACCGTGCAAACTTCTGGAATTCAGGTTGCAAATCATATAAACCTGTGTCAATCATTTTCTGGGCTGAGACTATCTCGCACTTGTCGGCAATCTTTAGAGCACCTTGCGACAGGTACTCTCCAAAATAGTAGGATCCCCTGTGCTCCTTGGACCGAAGGGTTGCAAGCTTCGCCAGACTTACGTTAAGATGGCGATAGGCAGCCATGAGATCCATATCTCGAAGAAAAACTCCCTTGGGAAAGCAAGTGGTGTCGACTATACAAAGACAAACATCGTCGAAGTCTGATCCGTCTGTCGTGTTGGCGTGTAGATGGAAGATGTAGACGAGGGCGAACAATATCGAGCTCGTCCAAGACACTAGGTTATCGCTAGGGCCTTTCCACCACCTGAGATGCCTATTAAGCATGTCTGCCACTCGCGAGTCATCGCGCCTCGCAAGGATATCCACCTTGCAGTCTGCATGGTCGTGCCGGGCGTCCATGGACTTTGTCCAGAGCTTGTCGGTAACACCGGCGGAACGTGGGGTGTATACGCGAAACAGGTAACGGGGAACCTCGAACCTTTGCTGAAGCCGCGCCTGAGTCCCCGTCGGACAAAAAGGAAGACACTCGGGGTCGGTATCAGGACTGGGATCCAGACTCAGGGCCTGTAGACTGTCGATTAAATCTGGGGCTGCCATTGTTTGCACTGAGGGCCCCGGGCGCTGAATTGAATGTAACCGAATAAGTCCGCTGCGAAATACTTGGGGCAAGAGTATGGGGAAGGGGAGGAAACCCCGCGGGTTCTGAGGTCCTTGGCGCGGTCGACATACCTTATATGACTGCTCGAATGGCAACAGGCGGCATGTGCATTGCAGCTCTGTGGCCGGGTTGAGGTGGGCATGACCCAATAAGGTGGTACTCATGCGGCTCTGGTGCAGCCTACATACGCAGGCCGTGAGTGCCCGGTGTTGTCGGGCTTCCCGCCGCGTAATCCGGCAAATCAAAAGAGGGCTCGTAATCTAGCGGCGCGGTGGATTGGACAGAAGTGTCTGCCAATGCAAGACGGGTTGCCATTGAAGCCCAGTGAGGCGAGGGGCGGAGCAACCCAGAGCCAACATTGAACACACCCCGGGGGCTGGGGCTCGACGTGCCCGACATCCGCACGCCGCGTGTAACACCAAAACGCACCACCCCGCGTCGGGTCTCAGCAATGCCTTGGGCACGTCTCCGCAGCCCATCGTGGAGCTGTCACGATGCTTCTGCGATCTGGCTGGCTCGTTAACCAGACCTCAAGGCGTTGCGGGGGCTGTCCATGACCCCGTTGTCCAACATGCCGGCCACACGCCGGATAACAGGCCCCAAAGCCAGTGCGTTCTGGGCTTCTCTCGCCTTGAAGGGCGGGCAACTACTGCGAGCAATGGTAAGAGAGGAGGTACTGGTCCTGAACTGCAGAAAGAATCGCTGCCTGGTCAGATCCCCGGATATTAATAAATCTTTATCACAAAACTACCTACATGTACCCATGTTTGCTATTCCAAGGCTAGGTAGCAAAACCGCCCCCCCTCAGCGAAGTAGGACCTTCCCCCTTCACCAACCCCAGTCTTCACCCACTCTTCGCCGGCCACTCCCTTCTCCTCTCCGCCCTCACATACAGATTATTCGGCCTAATCAGCTGAAACATCGGGTCATACTCCACCGTCTCATTCTCATCCTCCCGCTCAAACCGATACCGATACACCAACTTGGGCAAGAACACCTTCACCTCCTGCAGCGCAAAATTAAACCCAATACACGACCGCGGGCCCGTCGCAAAGGGGATGTACGCCGCCTTGTGGCGGTTGCGCACGGCGTCCGTGTCCCACCGGTCCGGGTCGAACCGCGCCGGGCTGTCCCACACGGCCGGGTTGTTGTGGATGTGGTGCAGCGCGGGGATGACGACGGCCCCCTTGGGGAGCTTGTACCCACCGGGGAGGATCAGGTCGCGCAGGGCGGTGCGGGCGGGTTGGAAGGAAGGGTTGTGGCGCCGTTGGGTCTCTTTGATGTACTTGTCGAGGAAGGTGAGCTTGCTGGTGAGCTCGGCGGTGATTTGCGTGGTGGGCGTGAAGTCGTTGTCGATGAGTTCTTGGAGGAGCCGGTCTTGCATGCCGGGGTAGGCGACTAGGCCGTAGATGAGCCAGGAGAGGAGGGAGCTGGTGGTGGTGAAGCCCGCGCCGGTGGCGACGATGAGCGGCTCGATGAAGGAGGTTTTGGGCAGCTTATTGCCTTTGTTGTCGGTGGCGCGGAGAACGTAGTCTGGGAGTATGTGTGTTGGTGAAGGTTATGATGCGGGGGATGGGAAGTGGGCAGTGCGTACCTATCATGTTCTCTGCCTTGAGAGCGGCATCCTGGAGGTCGAGGTCTTGGATACCGCCGCGCTTGGCGTTTTGGATGGGCTCTTCCATCATGGTTGCGATGCGCTCTTTCATCCCCCGGAGGCGTTTGGGGTCTCCGAATGGCAGTGCGGCATACCAGTCTCCGCGGGATGCGACCTTCTTGTTGAGCTCCAGCGATTCCGCTATCAGCATCACTAGCTCATGAGGGCGTGCGTCGACCGCTGTGAAGTGGTTAAAGTCGAAGCCAAGAACCAGCTTGCCAACGGCCTGAGAACCGAGCTTCAGCATGTAGGGGTAGACGTTCCAAGCCTCGTTCCGCTCGTCCAACTCGTCAAACACGTTGAAGGCGTCTTCGACTGTTTTTTGCATGGTAGGGGCGTAATGACGGACCGCCTTGGGTCCAAACGCGGGCGGAAGGAATTTGTGGACGATGCGCCACTCCTCGGTGTTGGTGTCGCCGAGAAAGACGCCCGCTTGTTGGTTCCTGATCGGGTACAAAGGGTGGTCCTCGTTGATCACTTTGGAAAAGAACTCGCTTTCTGCGAACACGATACTGGCGAGAGCGGGATCGTTGGTTTGGTAGATTGTCCGGCCCATAGTAGTTGTCTTGAACATGGGGCCGTACATGTCGAAGAGTCGCTGGTGGTTGCCGAGATGATCTGGATATGTCTCAAAATAGGAGCCGAAATACGGCAGGCCCTTGGGGCCAGGCACTTCTCGGATCTTTCTCCCATCCACGCTGATGGCGATAGCGTCTGTGGCATCCAAGACATCTTGAACTGAGGGGAGCTCCGCATTTTGGGAAGAAAATGAAACACCTGTTTGTGTGAGTGGGTGTTGCTCCTCGATGGATTCTCGTCGCACATACCTTTGGGTTCTACGATGCCAAAATGGGCAGCTGTGATTTCTTGGAGATCGCCAAGCTCTAAATCGGCGGCAACGTCGATCTCCCTAGCCGCTGTCACATCCTCGCCAAGGAGGTAAAACTGTTTGCTCGGCATCGTGAGACTCTGAGGACCAGTCCAACGGAAATAGTAGGCTAGGAGATGGGTATCTGCGCCTTCGGCCGGGGGCAATGATAGCCGACAAGAATATAATGGCGCGTATATCACTTAACAAAACATTCAAATCGTTGGTTATGACTTATGGCTCGCCTGCATGACATGGCTGGGCGATGTCTTCGGCTTAAGTATCGAGTCATCGTATCGAGCGGTAATGTGGCATCCTCTCGGACCCAGCAAAGTTCTGTCAGTCGGACCGGCATTCGAAAACGTGCCGTCCCGATAGCTACAGGGCACGGAACCGCAAAAGAGTGGAATATTCGACATTCGGCTTCCAGTGGATTGTGACGAGATGCCGCGGCATGGCGTCCCTTCGCTACAGGGTTTTGCCTGTTCGCCGTTGCTTAGTGGGACCCAAGTGCCGGCCAGGGGGCCAGGGGGTGGTCTTGATGCTACGCAAGAAGCAATCATATTCGGGAATCGGCAAGGCCGGACTCCACCTCGTACCGTCGGAGGACCCCTGAGCCACCCCTACCGCAGGTTGTGTCCCGAGGCAGAACAAAAAGCTTCATCCCGGAAATTACTGATAACGCGCATAAAACGTTGTTGCTCCACAAGATGGTCCCAAGTCCGATATGCCGGTGAGACGGGTTTCAGAGTGCCGCTCAACGCCGACACCATGGATACCTATCGACGAGAATCGTTAATTTTAGAACCTTTCTTTTCGTCACAGCTCCTTATAATATCGCCAAGTACAACACGCAAGCTTCCTGTGGTCGTCTCTCGTTCTCCGTTCTGTAACTTCAGTTTATACTTCACACACACACAATGGCTTCCCTTGAATCCATACAGACTTCGCCCATGGAGTACACGGCTGAGGACGTGGCTTTGCACAAGGGCAAGTTGGGCAATTGGATGATCATCCATGGCCAAGGTGGGTAAGAACAGCACAAAGATAATCACAGACTGGCACTGATGGGCGTGGCAGTGTTTGACGTCTCAAAATACATCGATGACCACCCTGGTGGTGCCGACCTGCTTGTGGAAGCGGCTGGCACCGACGCCACCGAAGACTTCGATAATGCAGGTCATTCCGAGGACGCACTAGAGATCATGCGCGAGCTGTGCGTCGGCGTACTGAAGGGGTACAAGAAGCCAGCACCCAAACGTGTTGTCCAAATCCCACGCGTCGTGGAACCTGTCGCCAAACTCCCGTCCTCTTCCACCTCCCAAGCAGCAAAGACATTGAGCGTGGCAACCTGTGTCGCAGTCACCGCGTTCTCTGCTACACACTACTCTCGGACTCACGGCGACCTCATCTGGAAGGTCCCCAAGCTCCTGCCAACGACAACAAATCCCCTGTCTCACGTCAGCACCACCAGCTCCGGCGGCTTTTCCATGGGCTTTTTTGCCGCGTCGGCACTGACCGCCCTCCTCGCGGCAGCAGCAGCCAACCAAATCTCCAAACTCACCAATCTCCCCGAGGGCGGCTTCATGCGCTACCCACCCCACAAGCCGTCCTCCAAACCACGGCGCACACGAACACCCTCCCCCACAACCACCCCAACCACCTTCCTCAACCCGCAAACCTACCAACCCCTCCCTCTCACGCACAAAGAAACCCTCGCCCCGGGCGTCCTCCTCCTCACCTTCGCCCTCCCCACCCCCACCACCACGCTGGGCCTACCCACGGGCCAACACGTCTCCATCCGCGCCGTCATCGACGGCACGCCCGTCACGCGCTCCTACACGCCCATCTCCAGCGACGCCGACGCGGGCGTGCTCTCCCTCGTCGTGCGCTGCTACCCGAACGGGCTGCTCACGTCGCGCTACCTGGCGAACCTGCAGGCCGGGGTGGACAGCGTGATGTTCCGCGGCCCAAAGGGCGCGATGCGGTATCGCAGGGGGTGGGCGGAGAGGATTGGCATGATTGCGGGCGGGACGGGCATCACGCCGGTGTATCAGGTGGTGAGGGCGATTTGTGAGGATGAGGGGGATGGAACGCGGGTGAGTTTGGTGTATGCGAATAAGGGGGAGGGGGATATTTTGTTGCGGGGGGAGTTGGAGGCGTTGGCGGAGAGGTTTCCCGAGAAGTTGCGGGTGTGGTATCTGTTGGATGTGGCGCCGGAGGGGTGGGGGTATGGGGTGGGACATATTACGAAGGAGGTGGTGCAGGAGCGGATGCCGCAGCCGGGGGAGGGGAGCAAAGTTATGGTGTGTGGGCCGCCGGGCATGGTGAATGCGGCGAAGGGGATGTTGGGGGAGATGGGCTTCAAGGTGCCGGGGAAGGTGGCCAGGATGGAGGACGATGTTTTTGTGTTTTAGGCTCAGCTGTTGGTGGTCTGATGTTGGAGTTGGTGCTAGCACAGGTGGTGGTACACTGGAACAAGTAATATGATTCGACCATAGATTTGTGTGGAAATATTCAGCGGACCTTTTTTGTGTCCGTGATGTTCTCTCCAGATCATATGGTTCAGGCAGACGGAACTGTGCCCATGTGATAAACTCAGGATGTCGGTTTGCGATTAGTGGTGTTGGGTTGTGCCAACAATGCGAGAACATGCTTACTGTTACTCTGAAAGGCCCAACTGCTGGGGAACCATCACACAAAGGGCGTGGGGGACGGGTGCCGACGCCGGCAAAACTTGGCCGCGACCATTGTTTCTTTGCGCGTCAACAGCGGAGTATAAAGCTAGGGTCGATGGGGTGGGTGAAGTGGTTTAGATCTCTGATATCTTTCTCCCACCATCTAGCAACCAGCACTATTATCATGACAGTGGACTCCGACGTACTTGACCTACCTCCAGGATATGAAATCCGAAAGCTCAACAATGAGCACCTCAGCTGGGTCCAGGCTATCGTCGCCCACACCATGAGCTTCGACTCCGCTGTTTGGTCCAAGGTGGACTACCCTGGCGGCGCAACCCAGCGTGCCTACGACATGTACCACGCCATTCGACAATCCTCGCTTCAAAGCATTCAGTCCGGCCTGTCCTATGGCGTGTTCTGCACGGAGTACAAGTGCAGAACTCCCGGCCTTGAAGGGACGCTAGACTGGGATTTCAACGATTTGTCGGCAGATGACGATGACCTTCTCGAGCAGATGGACTTCCCCCTCGTATCGATTGCCATGTCGAAAGATGCTGCTGAGGACAAGCCTGTGCCAGAAACCGGGGTTAAGCCATGGAGCGAGATCGTGCCCGGCCACGCAATCATTAGCAACAGCCTCAAAGCTGGCGACAACCGTCCCCAATCCGTCTGGTCACCAGAACACATGGGAGAGGTGGTCCGGAGGAGTGGGACGCATACCCGGGGCGACCACGCCGGCAAGGGCCTTTCCAAAGTCCTAGCCCATCATATTATGCGGGAGATTCGGGATCACGAGCAAGGATACAAAGCCATCCTTATCCACACCGGAGGGGAGGCTGTCGACAAGGTTTGGCTGAGACCGCCGGCGCCGTTTAAGAGCGAGGAAATCTGCCCGTTCTCTACTTCTGGGTATCACAGGAAGGACGACCACAGTGACACGTCATACAATCCGTTCGGCAGTGCCAAAGTGGTGAGCAGGCGAATCTGGGTCACCTGGCCCTTGAAGGAGGACAAAGAAGAGCTACCAGTCCTTAACCTGCGCAGGAGAAGTGCCGTTGTGATAGCGGATGTGAAGCCCAAGGAACTTGTTGATGGCTCTTGACAACCAATGGCAGTGCGGGTTAGCCCTGAAACGAGACATGTCTTGGATATTAGTGACTTGGAGTTTTAGTGGTTGATCCGCCGACTAGGTACATGTACTACTCTATGAGTTATGGGTTATATCACTAATCGTGTAATATTAGGTAGTTGTGCCCTTCTGTCGTTAGCAGGGATAAAATAGATTTAATAATTAACAAATGCCGAGGTTATTAATTTATCCAAGTAGCACGCGGTCAAACCAAGCGTCACTCCCCCCTTTCTTTGGACTAGCTCGCACTTCTCGATCCCGTCCCTCTTCACTCTTCTCCGTTAAACCCGACGCTCCACTTTGGCTTTTTGTCCTTCATCCCACATCAACATTCCTCGTGTGACCCAGACATCGTCTCACTCAGAAACACCGCGAGCTCCTATTGCTCGTCCTCCGTTTCACTCAATTGAAGTCCTACTTAGCCACCCACGCCAAGATGCAGGCTCCAGTGTGTCCTGATTGTTTCACAGGCACCCTCCGTGGTGATGTGACCCCCACGGGTTATGAAGAGGTGATCAACGGTCTCCCAACTTACGTCACTGGCCCCGAACCTGGCGTCCAGCCACGCGGCAGTGTGGTGCTCATCACCGACGCCTTCGGTTGGAAGCTGCGCAACTCGCGGGCCCTCGCCGACGCCTACGCCAAGCGCGTTCCGTGCGTTGTCTACGTGCCGGACTTTATGAACGGTATGCCGTTCTCCCTAACCCATACATGATAGTAGTAACTACCATGCAGCAAACAAAACACCTCATATACTCACATCATCTGCGATCCCAAACCAGGCCAAGCCATCCCCGAATCCGTCCTCTCCCTAACCGAACCCCCACCCACCAACCCTTCCTCCCCCCCCAAACAACTCGTTCACCAGCCGCCTCAGCAAAGCCCTCACCACCCTCCGCCTCCTCCCCACCATCCTCCTCTTCCTCTTCCGCACGCGCCAATCCGTAGCCCACCCGCGCGTGCTCTCCTTCGTTACCGCCCTGCGCGCCGCCAACACCACCACCACCTCCCCCTTCCTCCCCGCCCCCAACAAAATCGGCATCGCCGGCTTCTGCTGGGGCGGTCTGCACGCCGTTCTCCTCACCCACGATACCCCGCGCAACCGGATCGTGGACGGCAACGGCGGCGCCGGCCAGCCGCTGATTGATTGTGCGTTTACGGCGCACCCGTCGCTGCTGAGTTTCCCGGGGCATATTGAGGGCGTGGTGCGGCCGCTGAGCGTGGCGAATGGGGATGATGACCGGTATATGGGGCGGGAGAAGATGGGGGTTCTGGTGAGGGTTTTGGAGGGGAAGAATGAGGTTGATGCTGGGGGGGAGGTGGGTGCTGGTGGTGTGGAGGGTGGTGGTGAGGATAAGGCTTCGGGGCCGAGGTATGAGGCCGTGGTGTACCCCGGGGCGAAGCATGGGTTTGCGGTGAGGGGGGATAAGGCGGATCCGATGCAGAGGAATAGGGGTGAGCAGAGTGAGGACCAGGCTGTGAGGTGGTTTCAGCGGTGGTTTGCCTGAGTTGACGCGAGTGCACGTGGACGGGGTCGGGGTTGGTCTGGATTAAAGTGTCGCTTCCGTTCACGAGTCAGATCCTTGATGGTCAGTGCAAGTTGCCGGTCGCCGGCCTTGTGATTATGGTTGTAGAATGTGGTTCATCAGGCCACAGGAAATATTTGCCCCCTGGCATGTGTGAAAGATGAGCAGATAAGGACGAAGAGTAGGTATATGTTAATTTGGCGAGCCACTCCGAACCAACGCGACGCCGAGGGAGACACCACGATGGACTCAATCACCGTCGCAGGGGATGAAAATTAAAATTTTACTCTGGAACACCGAAGGAAACAAGCAAACACTGGAAGTCTTGCTGGAAGAGGCCAAATATGACCTCTTGGCTGTGCAAGAACCGTGGATCAACAAGGCGACAAAATCCACATACTGCCCCCGGAGCAGCAGATACCACCTGGTACATAAACTCGAGAGGCGGGCGGCAATATATGTAAGCAAAAGATTTGAAATCAGGCAGTAGGACTCCGAAGCCACAGAGAATTGGTGCCGCGTGTGGTTCCCAGAGGCGGACCTCGGAAGGGAAAGCTGCGGATTCGAGCCTTGGTCCATATACAACCCCCCCGCCGGCGAGAACGTACCGAGAGCCCTCCAAGGGCAGCCAAGGCCAAGCCACCCGGTGGTTCTGGCAGGAGACTTCAACCTAAAGAACCCACTGTGGGATGGGTTCGGACGCTACGACAGGAAATCTGAAGACCTATTGCAGCTGGGTTCCTTGTGGGACCTCACCATCAGGACTCCAAGGGGAACGACAACGCGAGCTCCCCAGGGGCGGCAGCGAGGCTGTTGCGGGCGCCGGCATTCCGGGCCCACCTTTCCAGACCGCCCGGCCCCGCCCTGCGTGGGCTTAACCCACGCAGTGGCATCGCTTCCTGTTGTTAGGTTTACAGTAGTATGGTCTTCCAGTCCTGTGTGCTCACACAGAGGCCGCCCGTCAACCATCGACCACTTCTGGACTTCGGAAAACCTCCAAACAGTATACTACGGGGAAGAATGTCGTGGAAAGTCAGACCACTACCCACAAGTGCTCGAGGTCGGGGAAGGACATGGGCCGAGGCCAACCCAACCGGATGGCTGGGCCTGGAAGAAGATGGACAGGGAGAGGGTGAAGGCTGAGTCAACATTGCTGTGCACGGCTATGGGTCTCACAGACCCGGGGCCGGCCAACTTCTTTCGAAGATAGAAAGTGCTGTTCTCGTCCTTCCAGTGGGAAATTGCGCCTGATGGCGTGGACTCGGGGATGTCGGACTTTTCGCAGACCATTAGCGAGCCGAGGAGCCAGCGAGAGGGGTTGATCGGTAATCCGCGCGACGGAGACCCCGAGGACGGGATCCATTTCACTGGTGCGAATATAGTCAGTCACGTTATCTAGAAAGCACTAGGCTCGCTGAGTGCACCAGAACACCATGGCTGCTGGTTATAATTTGCCCGTGATAGCGATTTGGATTGAGAGTTTGGGAGGCCGGCGAGATTTCAGCTCTGAGAGAATTTGAGTTTCATGCAACCCTGAACCAACAGGCGTTAACAGCACGTAACGACGCGTATGAGAACCGCGTCATGGATGCGCCGAAAGACCATGAACAAACACGGCACAACGCCGCTTCTGGGTTTTAGCATATAAGTGGAAGGGGAGCAGTGAGTCGAGTTGGTTGGCTATTAGACTGACTTCGTTACCCTCGAGTTCGCCCACGTACCTAACTCACCCTCGCTCGCGCGACCAGTTACCAAGATACAGCCTAGCTCGCCCACCCCACTTAGGGGCCGGAGTCTGGGACAATTCATAGACGACTGGGCAAGTATGTAATTCGTTAGCCAGGAAAAAGAGAGGCTTGTGTGGCTATCCACAATCAACTCGGGACTCGCAGGTTGATTATTTGGTCTTTTGGAACGCCCAGCATCTTCCACGACAGCCGTGAGATATAAAAATGGTAATATGATAACTCGTAGCTACTGTTGTGTAATACTCTCTGAGGCACCTTTTGCCTCAACGATACAAGAAGAAGGTGCCACTTCGATCCAGAGGAACCCGCCAAGATTCTCAAAGAGACCTGATCCGGCTTCCGGGACAGTCTCGCTGCGGCATGTTGCAAGCCAAGACCCAGTGCATCCAATACCAAGAAAAGCCAAGTAGGGCCAAGCCAGCCTCACTGGGAGTCACGGTCCTTCCCGCTCGCGGCCACGACCCAAGGGCGGTTGATGTGGGGAGCCGAGAGCTGACCGACGTGGCAGTGCAATCGGCTGTGCGACTGGCGGTAGTCACGCAGTGTTTCGGCCAAGCGCTTGGCCACGCTCTTGCTGGGGCCCCGTCCACCCCTTGCGCCCTTGCTGCACCTCTCCACCATGACGCGCTGACATGTGGTTATCTCCCTTTCCAGCAAAGAGCGACGTCTCGGTCGTCTCCCATTCGTGTTCGTCATGTGGCCCGTCGAGGTCCGTTGCGGATGCTGTCTCGCCTCCATCTGGGGTCGCGCGGGGAACAGCGTGTTCCAGTTTTGGGGGGTTTAGGAAGCAGATGATAGACGACGCGACCATGGGCGACTCAGGCGCACGAGGAACGGCAACTTTACCTGGGCGGTTTTCGACGCCTTCATGTTGTCGAGGCTGTTCAAGGACAAACTTCGTTTCCGATCCGAAACCTCGTCGGGCTTGGGGTCCGTCGTCGAGCGCTTCCTGTGCGCTTGTGGCGTGGATGGGACTGTCCGGTCTTGCCGTTTCAGAGAACGTATTTCAGGGCCAGCCGATTGTGCGGGGGCCGAAATGGGCGGTGTCTGCCCGTCTTTGAGCTCAATCTCATGAGCGACCAGTGAAGTCTCGCTGTTTGGGCGTTTGTATTCGACCTCTGTGGTGTCGCTCAATGACGCCTCGACCTTCTCTCGCATGAAGGCAAACGGGAAGTCAATGTCACCCCCGACTGCCTAGGTTAGCTCCTGCTGTAATACGAACGTGATAATGAGACGTACCATGAGCAGACCATAAGCGCGCATCAACTGTGTATTTGAAAAACTCGTTGTTCACCGTCTGGTAGCCATTCTGGCTAAGCCAGAGTGCCACCCACTCCTCGGCAGCTTTGACAGCGTCTGCCTTTTTTCCAGGCACGAGTAGCTGTGTGTCTCGACTGGCAGCGAAGTTCAGAATGAACTGGCGCCTTGAATGCTCGGCCGCAGTCAGGGCCTTGAGCACATTCATCCGCTCCAGGTCCAGCAGCGTGGATCGACGTCTGTTTTCCCTCACGGCAGCGTTTGCTGGCCTAGCCATGCCGCGTAGTTCAATCGGGTTGGTGATTTGTGTCAGGGATGTCGACGATGGCGGAAAGGACGCTGAGGTTGTTGTCGCATGGAGGTTGGCCAGCGCGATTACCAAGTCTTGGAACCAGCAAGACAGCTAGCTCGGAAGATGATCGATCGCTCTTATAACCACCTACACACGAGGGCGTGTGTAACCGCGGCGTTGAGATCAGAGGAATAGAAATGTGGAGGTGGCGCGGTCCGGCACAGTGCGGTAGGTGTCCAGTGGGTGTTCGTGAACGGTCAGCGTTGGAGCTGCGGGATGAGACTTGGTACGAGGTTGAGCGTCTGCGGCCGAGGGAGTCCTGAACTTCAATGTGAATGCTCAACCCGAGGAGGGCCGGACTTGACACTCACTCAGCCCTTCGGCCTCAGGGGCCAATCGAAGATTAACCAAGACGTCGGGACCCTTCCCGGGGGCCGCTGCCAAGGTCGCCAAGTGCACCGTCGTACTTGGCGACGGCAGTCGACAGAACAGTCTCCCAATCTCCCGTCGAACGTTGGAGAAAATAGTTGCGGGGAAGATGGAAGCGGAAGTCATCGTCACTCACTCCAGGTTTCAAGGAACGGGGCAGGCCCCGGATCGGCGCTTTCCTGGGGAGAGAAAATAACTGGTTCTCAAACTTTTTAGGCAGACCTGACCGCGCCTTCTTCCTCCATCGCGTTGAGGAACCGAAACACCACCCTACCACGTTGCTCAGTTTCTTGGGAAGAGCTGGGCGGCCTGGGCCAGACTGGAAGCAAACGACTTGGCGGTCGATCCCTGCTTTTCTGGAAATTCCCAGATGCTCGAAGATGGCAGGGATGGAATCCCATGTGTTTTTTGGTCATTCGCACCATTCCCGCCGGAATCGCCCGACCATCGACTCACCGTGCTCACCCAACTTTTTTTATCTTTCTGTTTTCGTTCGCTCGCAGCGAGTTTGTGAAACAACACCCTTTTTCATTACCTCATCCAACCCGAGGACATTGTACATTGCCAGCGATGCCCAACTCGGGATCTGTGAGTGTGGTGCATGCAGACGCCAAGCCGTTATTGGGCCCAACCTCATCAGAGCTTTGCCCGAAAGCTTGGTGGTTGGAATCTCGCCACGGCAAGCCCACCGCTCCAGTCCTTCATGATTATTTGGTCATTAACTAGCTGCATCCGATTTCTGGCCCGACAGTTAGCCTTAGGAAAGAAACGGTTTTCTTAGATTGCCAAGCACTTGCCAATTATGTAGAGCTCGTCGGCGAGGGACCGTATCGGTCATCAGATCCTAGCGACCTATTTTAGCTACTCCTGCTGACGGAAGATAGTTATCGTCGTGGTGTAATTAGCTAATTAATACCGACACAACACCAGCCACACAATGTCTCATATGAATGGATCACGACAGCTTGCCTCGTGCCAGCACCAATCAAGATAGCGCTGAAGCGAGCTGTGAGACGACGACTTCCAGATTGCGACCAACCAACGGCACCACATCGACATAATTACGTCTTCTTCCTCGTATTGCGGTGAGATAGCCGACACGAGCCTGGCTAGTCTCAGACAATCAACAAGGAAGAGCCCTAAAAAGAGATTCTCCAGGGTCTGCGATACGCTCTCGCCACCCAATGGTCATGTTCCAAGTCCAGCGAAGTGGTCGTCGACCCAGCAAACCAGCCCGGCCAGATGTGCAGATAATATATTATTCATACTCCGCTATGCCCTAGGCGTGCCGGACCCTCTGCTATTTAGTGTACAGGAAAACCGTGCCCTCCCGGGCCGGGTGAAAAACCCATACCAACAATCAAGGAACGATGCCTTCTGGTGAGTCTGCGTATACAAAGAGAGGAGGCCTCCTGGCCTCCGGACGGGGGCGTTTCAGGCCGCCGCTTCCAGCTCGAGCCTCCTGGCTAAGCTGTACATCGGCAGCTTCCCCGAGTCCATCAGCCAGTCGAGGATCCTCCTCGCGAGCCGTGCAGTCGTGGGATTGATGCCGTGTAGAACAGAGTAAAAGTCCCGTCGTGTCCGAATCCCAGGTCTCTCCCATCTTCGAGTCAACGGTGGGGCTACACACCACACTACCAGGTGTTCGGCAGTCTCTCGTCCTTCGCCACACTCGCAGGCAGGAGTCAGAACCTCCGGGACTCCCCGTGTAATTAAACAAGAAGTCCCGTAAGCATATTGCTCCCGTCCGGATTTGAATCAGCAGTGAGCTCTTCGCCTTGCTAAGACCGTCGTGCCTCCTTAGGGTTTCGTTCCGGAATAGCGTCTCCTGCTGATGGTCAAAGTCGTCCGCCGGCCTGGTGACTGCCCTGCCGTCCCGTTCCTTTAACCACCTCGCTTTCCAAGCCTCTTCTACTACCCTGTTCGTATCAACGGTTCCCCCCGCCCAGCGCATGACCGTACCCGCGGCTCTCTCCACCGCCGTAGGCCCTTGAGGTCCCAAGGTTCGCGGTCGGCCCCTGTTGCCCCTCCTCGAGCTAAGTCTTTGCTGTATCTTGCGGCAGGCGGTGAGGACAACGCTCGCCGCCGTCTTCTTGCCGCCTCGACCGTCGTCAGATCGGGTCGTTGGAGTCGGTTTTCGAAATCTGCAAGCCGTTTGTTTAGGTACAAGTCCAATGGTGGTACCCATGTCTCTGTCTCGAGGTTACGGATGGGGGTAGACTTAAAGGCTCCCGCCACAATCCGCAAGCTCTTGTTCTGGGCCTTCCCGAGGGCCTTAGTGATGCCTTTCTTTACCGGCTCGCCTCCCACATCCGTATGGATGTGAAACGATGATGCGCCGTAGGCCAGCGCCGACCGGATGCACTTTGTGTACACTTCTCGCGCTTTGGCTAGCCCCATTCCCCACGTCTTTGCCACGATCCTCGACAGGGCATAGCTCTGGGTCCTCAGCTTCTTCTCCACCGCCACCAGGTGAGCCTTCCAGTTGAGTTTCCAGTCCAACCAGACTCCCAGGAACCTGGCAGACCCTTCTGGTTTAACGGGGCTAGTGCCTCCCCCTGGGTTGGCAAGGTTTACCTGTTCGGTCACTGCGGTCGGGTTTATTTGACAAATTGACTCAAAGGAAGGAACCGCAAGACGCAACTTCTCTCAATCAGCTGCACAACTTATTTCTCCAGGCAGCCGTTCATTTCGTGCGGGTGCTCATCATGGATCCATCGTCAGGGATTGGCTTAAAAACATGGGTCTCTGTCGAAAGAGAGCCATTTGTGGACTCGGGGCCAACCATCACGCATAACTTCACAAGTTGGGTTAGTACCTAGCTTAGAGTTCATACTTCATTCCGAACGACCTCCTCCCTCCCTCAACTGGTTGATTCAGTAAGTGCAGCCCCGCTTGCATGGCGTAAGCTATTAAACATACCTTGCCATCATAGGTGTTTACTGTTTGAGTGGTGTGAAGCTATGATCTCGGACCTGCCCAGAGGACATTGTTTACTTACGCGGACCATCATTAGCTTGGACTCGTTAGGCAAGAAGAATAAATCTTGGATTCGCTATACCTAGGTACGTTGCATCCAAGCATCTATATCTTACAAAAACCACCACCCAACTCTAACAACCCGAACAACGCAAGTCCCACTCATCGCCGCCGTTTCGACCCCCCAACACCACCCCTATCAATCACTCCCCACTCCCCTCCCACCACGACCCCATCTCCCTCAACGCATTCGTCCCACAATGTACCTCTCCCCCCCTCACATGATGACTCATATAATCATCCACCCACACCACCCGCATCCCCACCCGCCCATACACCTCCTCCACCGCCTCCCCAAAAACATCCCTCCCGCCCACCACCGGCCCCCACTGCCGCGGCGCAACGTACTTCCCGCTCCCACCACCCCCCACCACCAGCCCATTAATCGCCTGCGGCACCAGCCCCTTCAGTTGTCTCTCCCTCGCCGGCGCGCGCGCCAGGCGCGAGGGGTGGCCGTCCGGGGTGGTCGGCCACGGGTAGGTGACGTCGTGGAAGAGGGTGGGCACGCGGAGGATGTCGGTTTCGCGGAGGGGGAGCTCGCGCAGGAGGGTGGTGAGGGTGGCGTCGAGGTGGTGCTGGGCGTGGGCTTGGGTGGTGAGGAAGGAGGGGGAGGAGAGGATGGAGGCGATGGTGGTGGTGTTGTGGAGGAGGGTGGGGTCGAGGAAGAGGGTGAGTTCGTCGGGGGTAGCGTCGCCGGCGTAGGAGACGAAGGGGGTGCTGCCGTGGCCGGAGGCGTTGGCGTGCTGGAGGAGGGTGAGTGCGGCGGTGGTGTCGGCGATGGCGAGGGTGAAGTTGAGGGGGGTGGTGGTGGTGGGGAGGAATTGGACCATTTCGTCGACGTGGCCGACCGCGAGCCAGCCGGTTTCGAGGAAGAGGGGGGTTTGGGCTTGTTGGCTTTGGAGGAATTTGACCATGGATTCGGCGGGGTAGGTGCCGAAGTGTTGGCCCATGATGACACGGCCGTTGGGCCAGCGCTTGCCGGTGCGGGAGGTGTATGGAGGGATTGTTTCAATGTTGCCGCCGGAGTTGATCTCTTCCCAGCCGAACCCGGAACCGGAGCCGGGTTGGAACCCTCCGATCCCGGCGCTTCGAAGCTGGGAAAAGACTTGCCGTCCTGCTTCCCTTGTGGATTGGGCAGAGCGAAGGAGGATACGGATGGAGATGGGGCCGTCCGGGCCGGGCATGCTGGCGTACCCTGGCTCGAGGAAGTCCTGCGCCCAGATGTCGGTGCTCTGGTTGAATAGGACGATGGGGACGTCACCGTCGATCGCTTTCTCGAGACCACGGAGAAAATGGGCTTGCCAGGAGGAACCGATGGTCTTGTTATCGCCCGCTGCGGTGCTGAGAACAACTTCGGCACGTTGTAGGTGGTGATGCAGCAATACCGGAGCCTGTTTCATCGCGACAAAATCGCGGGCTGTTCGGCCACCGTCTGTCACCTCAAAAACAACCTTGACCGACCCATCCCAGACTTCCGCATCCGTGACCAGCTCGCGCCCATCCATGGCAAGCGTGATACCCTTCCGCAAACTGGTTGCGTTGAACGTAACCTGGCGGTCTACGGTTGCCCACACGTCCGAGTAGCCGGTGCTCCAGTCGTTTTCCTTCCAGAACAAGCGCACGCGGTCGCGGGTGTGGGCAGGCTCCGTGTAGATGCGCCCCACCGCGGCGTCGGAAACGTCCGGCAGTGGAACGGTCAGCAGCGGTGCGGCGTACTTGGCACTCGAGGGCAGAAGACGGCCTCCTGAAGCATCATGGCAGCGCCATAGCTCATCGTTGGAGAGGGGGGCGCCGGTCAGGTCAACTGCCGGGCATCGGTGGGTGGAATCACCGATGTTGGGCAGAAAAATGGCCCCGCGAGAAGCGGTCCAGTCGTGTTTATGGGGCTCGTCTAGGTGGTTGACGACGCCGTCTCGGTTGGTATCGGCGAGAATACGTGGGCGAAATGTCGCTGCCGCAGAAGGGACTAGTCCTAGGGGGACAAGGGAAAGAAGACGGCGAAACGAGATTGCCATGGTGGGTGGACGCGCAGTCTGAGGCGGCACTTGAATGATGTGTGAGAGTGCCCGTGTGGCCCCTCGAAGGCGGGCTCCGTGGGCCATTATGTACTTTCCAGACTCCAGGAGGTATGTCACCGACTCATTGTAATTTGTAGGGAACGATTATGTGGATCCAGTCTCGCGCCCACTACTGTTTCCGTGCCATTCAACTGAACGTCAGCATCGAGCTGAAGAGTTGATACTATCGTCGTGTCCGTCGTGTCCGCCGCATGCAAGGATTTCCGGAGGTTTCCCGAATAGGAAACATTCGGGGCCAAGACTCGGTCCAGGGCAGTGCTGGGCCGGCTGAGCGAACAACGGAAGATCTTTGTGACACAGGTCCGGGCCGGGCCGGGCTAATCAAATTGACTTTAGACACCCGTCACGCAAAGCAGCCCTGGAACAAGTGGCGTGAAATAATGCAATTTGTTGTGCTTCGGTCCACCAACTAAAGAACAAATACGTAAGACTGGTCGAACATGGCATCCCAGCACCCTTTCCCCATCTCAAGCTTCCATACGCGGTTTTCCAGCAGATCTTTTGCTACCAGGGGCGCAGCCGTGCCGAGGGCATTGCTAATCCAGCGTAACTCGCCAGTCACAAACCGCTTCGCCTCCTCGTCCTCTGCCTCCACGCCAGCCATGAACAGGGGCCACAGAAGCTGCTTGCGCAGTTGAGTGCACTTGCTGACTTCCTGGAGCCGGCTGAGCAGTGTTGAGGCACACATCTTCCTCACCTCGGTGACGACTTGCTGGCGAATGAGCGGTGCATCGGTTAGTAGCCCTGCGCTGTTGTTGTCTGGGCTACTTGTCTCCTCGTGGAGGAGAGACCTAATGCAGTAGATGGCGATGGCCGCCTGGTAGATGCAGGCAATCACGTGCCAGCCGCTCAAACCAGGAGGGGCGGGATTCTGGTTCCTGGTGATGCTGACGGTAACTTCGGCAGCCCACCTGTCGGCCGAAAATGACCTGATGCGGCGTAGGACGTCGAGAGCTGCCGAGTATTGTGGATCTCGTTCCTCTCCCGATGGTATTGAGTCCGTGCTGTCAGGGGTAAGTGCGTTTCCTCGAAAAACTGACCGGAGATGGTTGATGCGGATGAGTTCGGCAAGTAGGTCTGGAGGGCATGGAAAGCAGGTGGCGAGACCGTTTCCGTAGAAAATGGGGAGCAGGGAGACCAGCTCAAGTTGGCTGCGGGCTGAGCGCATGTCGACACCGGGCGATGTTGTGTTCCCTATCGCTTCGATGCTTTTCGGAATTAGAAACAATTATGGGAGTCAAAAGCAGAGCGATGGGTAACCATACAGAGCATAGTATCGCAACAGGTGGTGTAGGAAAGGGCGAGAAACAACAAGACTTTGCAAGCCGCCCTTTAGATCGATCATGGCAGCCGCACCGTTGCCGTGATTCCGCCAGTTGGGCGGCTCAAACGATTGCTGGATCTGAAATGATGGGTCAGGTTTGAAGAAAGGGTTGATCAATGCTTGGTACTGCTCACCTCAACGAGAAGCAGGATCAGCACGGACGCCAGAGTTATATCTGAAGGTTCTTTCTGTTCGCTCAGGTCGGCTGTCAAAGCTCGGAGGGCATCACCGCGATGCCGCTGCAGCCTCCGAGCCAACACAATCTGGTCTGACGGAGCTGCATTGCCGGCCTGCAGGATGCGGTGGCAAAGTGAGGTGCAGACAATGCTCTGAGTGAAGGACCGGGGGAGGAAAGAAGCAGTGATAGGGGGCATCCAGTAAGGAGTCCCGGGGCCCTGAGCTCCTGTGGCACTCAGGTCAGGAGCGATGTGTAGATTATCTAAGGCGGCATTGGATGTTAGCTCATGTTCTCCTACAATCCCACCATCCGACTAGGGTGGCACACTGACAGTACTCGATAGCCTCGAGGACAACAGTCATTTGGTGGTCACCCTCCGGCTTGAGCGCCCGCGGCACGGCATTCCGAGGCACGACACTCTTTTCCGGGCCTTTGGCGTTGACCTGTTGTGGCTGCAGCCACTTTAGGGGTCTTTTCCCGTCATATCCTGGGCATGGCACGCCCCTGAACTCGCATTTTTGGCATTTGGGACGAGCAAAGTCACACACCAACCGGCGGCGGCGACACTCCCAGCACTGCTTAGAGGTAGCTTTGGGTTCGTCCATCTCCAAAATTTGCTGGCCTTGACAAAGAAGGTACCTTAGATAGCAATCGAAATTTTGTGGTCCGAATACTAGAAGTTGAAATTCATCCAGCAAAAGCTTATGCTTGTGAATTTGAATGTCAATGGCGTATTGGTTGTGCAGGCGCCGCCGCACAGCCCCGATTGGGCGGACAAGGGGTGGCTCAGCCGGCCACGCCAGTGCCCAGTCAAAACCCGGGCGAAGCGGGCTAAAACTGAGGCGTCTGACCTGGTGTCGGGGTCGGAATGTCACTGGCGAGTATCATTCCATTGCAATCTCTGGCTCATTCAAGGTAAACCCTATTAAGCAGGGGAACTCAACTCAATCTAGAACCCCCGGGACTCCTGGAGCCAATTCCCTCCCCACCCCGAAGTATTTTAATTACGTATAGTTAACGTTACCGAAATACTTAAGGCGCGCTTTTTCTCCCTTCACCTCCCTAAGGCCCTAAACATGTACCTCCCGTAGTAAGGTACCTATTCATCTGGAATAGCTATCTGCGCCAATGACCATTTCGCCCCCATCCCGCCCCTGAGTGCGCAGCCCTTATCCTTCGTATCAATCACATTGGCAGCCCAAGGATCTTAAGGGCTAGGAAGCCATAATGTCCGTGGGCGAGTCATGTTTGTCCAGATGTTTGACGCCTGTAACAGCGACGGCCGTCTATCGGGAAACAGGGGTGGCCGTAACCGTGATGGTACTCGTGGTCGTCACCAGGCACGAGGTGGTAGTGGTGGTGACATCCGGCGCAGTCTCGTAAAAGGTGGAAACGTACAAATAAGTGTAAATGTCGGTGCTCATGTTGGTTACGTAGATTGTCGTCACTCCATAAGGCGGATATGTGAAGTCAGGCTTGCCGATCTTGGGCCTGGCTGAGGCCCGTTGCTCCAGGCCAACGATCGCGTCGGCGCTGTTGCCAACGTTGTCATCGGCATCCACGATGGCTGAATCTGGCACGGTCGACGCGGGATCAGGTTTGAGATTCGCGTCCACCCCGGTGCGACGAAGACGAGGGCCGGGGACTTGAGTGACTGTAACAGTAACAAAGCAAGTCGAGGTCGCCGTGGGAACTGTCACGGTGCTGGTAGACGCCACAGTTCTGGTGATTGACGTTGTCGCATCCACATACACCTCGGTTGTTGGTACTAGAGTTGTCGTGGCCAGCGCGGTATTTATCACATATGTGGGCGTCGACTTTGGTAGGATAACATCGAAGGTGTAAGGCCAGATGGATATGCCCGCGGCCGTGGGCAAGTACCAGCTGATGCTGTGAATGCCGGCACCCACGTCTTTCCCGAGCAGGCTCTTGCATGCGAAATCGAAGTTGCCCTTGTTGATGCTGGCTGCTGGGATTGGGTCGCAAGAGTAGAGCGTGCGGCGTGTGGTTGAAGACACAGTTCGGGTAATAAAGACCACAGGCGTCACGGAATATGGCTTGCCGGAGACCGAAGAAGGGAGGGAGCATGTGGCTATTGAGGTGCGTTGGTACGGGGTGTACGGAGTCGTCGTGACATCTGTGAATCTAGTTAGTGACAGGTAATATTCTCCTAAGAAAGCAAAGATGGGACTGACAGGAGCTTAGCCCACACGATGTGCCACCCACATAATCGGTGTGCGTCGGCGCATAAGCAAGAAGGGCTGCTACGGGTGTCCCCGACAGGGAGACGATGTTTGGTAGAGCCGGGATGTCTACAAAACACTCGGGCAACACCATTTCGCCGTTCAAGGTCGGGAAAACAGGTGTATATTGACGTATGTAACAACAACTGAATGGCAGACCACGCAAGACAACTGCCAGGCCCAAACGTGGAAGATCCAGTAGAGGGACGAGACGAAGAAATGATTGAGGAGCAACAACGTTGGCTCTGGGAAATATTCTATCTTTTGTTTTCACTGAAGCATCGAAAGGTTATGCCCTCTCCGTCAAGCGTTGCGAAATTACCCCTATCCCAAGGCGTCAGACAAGGATCAGGCGGCGTGTGTATCATGCCGGCTGGGTCCGGCATGTGGGAACCGCTTTCGAAAAAGGGCTGGCAGGGGCAGCCCAGGGCGAACCAAAGGAAATAGGTATCATTGTCCCTTGGGAGGAAGTCAGAACAAGGGAGAGTGTTATGTCTATGCAAAGAAGAACTTGGACCTTGGAAGAAGCGAAAAGGGGCTCCGGCGATATCAGTGACTGGAGTCAGCACCAAAATCTCGACGGTCAGGCACGGTTAGTTCATCTTCGCCCTGTCAGCCTTATCTCAGATCAGAACCGCCAGTTGGTGACCACAGACAGCCTGAGAGAGACACGAGTGGCAGCCCTCTATCGCCAATCTGCGGGATGCAGCGGGAATCAGGAGGAGACCAGAAAGACAGAAGTGTAAAGAAAGTAGAATGGTCGATATGTTCCGACCCCCGTCAGCGCGCGAATTATAAAGAATTGAGATCAAGATGGCGATAGCGTGAGATCTCGAACCATGTTGCGAACGGAACCGTGTCGGTTTAGTAAACATTGCCGAGCGATGAGCCAGATGGTGTCAGAATACGGGATTCACTGGTCCAATCAGACAGTCAAGTATGGTTGTTGTCCGCGCTTGTTCCGCGTCCGTTGTATTTTTTTCGGTGTGTCCTCGTTCAGACTCCGACATGTGGGTCCCCTTGGGGTTTTTACCCGTCGAAATGAGAAGTGATGGTTAAGCTAAACATGCCCCGTTTTCTTCATATCCGAAGCCTCCACCCCGATATTCTGACAGATGGGAGCCAATAGGTTCACGGGTACCCGTGGATTTAAAGGCTCACGGGTCCCGTGGTGATGACTAAGCCCGCCCTCTGCGTTTCCTTTTCGGGCGCAAACGTTGCGGACTGTAAGAGACTGCGGCAATGTTGTTGCAATTGGCGCTACCTCTAGGTTGTAAGCTGAGGACGAAGGAAAAGAAAAATGGAAAGATCCTATCAGCCCGTTACAAATATAAAGCTTGCTGTTCCTCAGTATCCCTCTCTATCCTCCTCCGGATATCACCAACACCTCTTCTCCCTGTATCGAATGGCTCGTGTTCCCTCTCCTGAGCTACTAGAGCTTCAATTCTATCATCTTCTGCTCTGCTCCAATCCAGGTAGGCCATTATCTCCTCCTTCGTCCAGTCTCTTGAGCCTGTTGAAGTAGTACAGTGCTTCGTCATCTGCTTATAGTCGAGGCACCACTCGTAGCTTGCCTTGCTATATCGCAGAGGTAAACGCATTGCTTTCCGGTATTGCTGATTGGTTTTGATGCTCCCACGTGGTTGGGCTCTATACCAAGTTTCTCTTGCCTCAACATATCTCTGATAGATCGCCCGCGGGTCCCAGTAGTTTACCGGAGTTGAAGATGGACTTGACAAAGGTGATTGAGCGTAAGCTGGGGGGGGGTGTAGGTGGCGGGGGTGTAGGCGGCGGGGGTGTAGGCGGCGGGGGTGTAGGCGACCCGGGCGTGTCGTTGGCGTTGAGCTGGATTGTTGACGATATAGCTGTTGTTGCAAGTGAAGCCCGCTGTAATAGATCTGTATGCCTCTGAGGACACGCTTTGGCGGTCATCATATGACCCAACGCATGGCATCTGCTGCATCTGGGCAATGCCCTTGGCCGTGCTGATGCCTCGGCTATCTCAAACCCGCTAGGCTCTCGCCTGGTACTTGACTGCGGTATAGTCGAATCAGCAGCAATAGGATCAATGCGCTGACGAGGCTCCAGAAGCAACTGAGGAGTGCCATCACGTCTGAGATGTCACTGCGAGGCGAAATGCTCAAGTCGAAGGATTGAGTTCTGGCCAAGCAAAACCTCCAATGTATGAATGCAGGGTAGTCCCATAGATCGAGAGAAAGAACCTGAACAGGTTGGCGATATTTGAGGGTCTTTTCTGGTAAGGATTTTGCGTTGCTCGTCGACCTTCCTTAGAGCTTCGTGTGACACCCAACCACGTACCCCACTGTACAGTGATCCAGAGAGCTCAATCGGTAACCGAATCTGCTGTGTGGTCTGGTTGGACCTCAGCTCCCCAATTTGGTTGAGTAGAGCTTGCTTGATCGCCCTCCAGGCCTCAAAAAGATCTAATGTAGATCTCTTAAGGTACCCCTTTAGCAGTGCATGGATACCTTCAACACGTGAGGTTACCACGTTGCCAAAGTGAGGGTATTGATCAACCCAAGCCTTTACCAGCTTTTCCTTGTATGGATCTAGCCAAGTGGTTTTGATGTATCCAACCTCTTCGATGTGATGTGGAAGATACTGCTTCTCAAACTCTTCCACCCGCTTGTGGAATGTCTCCTCATCTGGCGATCTTATGATCAAATGCCAGAACTTGTAGAACGCGTTCCACGCTTCCAGTTCTTGATGCTGGCGGATGAAGGTTGGCTGGCAATGACGAAGAATTGCTTTGTTTGCATGCCATAAGCATAGCAGCGAAGCAGCAGATGGAAAGCAGGTAGAAACAGCGTTCATACATGCAATACACCGGTCTGTTAGAACAACAGAGGGGGTTCGAGCATTGCAGGCCTCATAGAGTGATCTCAGCTGGTCCAAGGCCCAACAGTAGTCCTCTTCGGTCTCGCCATGAAGGAATGCGAATGCAATGCAGAAGGATCGCTGGCAAGCATCAACCCCGATCATATCAAGAAGCGGCATGCCGTATTTGCTGGTCTTGTATGTACAGTCCAGCAAGAGGGTATCGGGATAGGCCTGAAGGTACGCCAATGAGTCTGAATGGGCGAAGAGAACAGCTGTGACCCGGCCATCTGGAGAAAACTGCATTCGACTCCAGAATCCTTCTCCGTCTAGCTGGTTGGCAAGTGCGTGTATCGTACTCTGGCCTTCGCAAATGTCTCGTTTTGTAGCCGCAATGCAATTATAGATGTCCTGCTGGGTTGCCAGAGAATTGCCGTTCTGTCGTATATACGTTCTGATATCCTTAGGAGCTATACCGGAGTTTACAAGACTGGCCAATTGAGTCGCATCGTCCTTGGACAGCTGACGGTGTGCTGGATGAGCAGATGGATGCTGGCTTGGCTCATGATTGTGTAGGAAAAACCGTTTGTCGGGGCGATGCCTCACAGTCCAAGTACCCTTATCCAGAGATTCTCTGGCCAGGACTGAGAACTGGCAGCCGGTTCCCCGGGTAGTTGTCCTCCGCTGGCGTTCTCTCGACACGCTGGGAGGACGACACGATCGATCACATGTATATGTAATCGTCTGTCTGCCACTCTTCTCCTTGGTTGACCTCCCAGTAGTGAATGCGTAGCCCTTGGTCGCAGCCCATGAGTTGATAGACACGAACAGGGCATCCCTCGATTCGTAATCGAGTTCCGGGGGAAGACAATCGTCAGGAAATGACGTGACTACTTCAGACAAAAGGTAGACTCATCATGACTTGCACGAAGTATATCGTGTTGGGAGTTAACTGTCAGGACGAAGCCGCCATGATGGCTGCGTTCAATGGACCTTGGTGGTTGATTGGTGCCCGCACCACAACCCCTGCGTTTTACCTCCTGAACAATCTTCCTTGGCCATCATCAGCGTCGTCAATAAAGCACTTTTTCCATCTTTTCTGACAGACCTGCTCAATCCATTCTGTCGACTCTTAAGAGCTTCTTCCAGCGGTCACTACAGGTTCCGACACTAACTATTGTGGAGAGACGCGATGCGTTGCGCCCGAAAAGGAAACGCAGAAGAGGGCGGGCTTAGTCATCACCACGGGGACCCGTGAACCTATTGGCTCCCCGCTGCAAGCCCTGAGCTCCGACCAAACCGCCCAGCGCAGACCGTGCATTTGCGACGCCACAGCACGGTCTCAATCAAACACTCGCTTCGGTCCGTTGGCATACGGCTTGTTGCTTGTCCATATCCAACCGCATCGAAATGCATCCAACAACACCCAACCGCCAACATTGATCTCACATAAAATCGTGGCAATGCTGAGGTTTAACTAGTTATGGATTTTATTTTATGCCGACATGTCGAAAGATGCAAGCAACCACGGATTCTGCTTGGTTGACATGGAACGCAGTGGGTGGAGAAGCCGCAGCGACCGCCAAAGTTTGTCCGCACTCCGACCAAAAACCCATCATGGCCCGGAGTCCTGTTGATCGCGGCACTGTCTGCGGAGCGGCTCGATCCATCCCCATCGCTCGGTTCACATTCAAACTGAGCCAACATACAAGCAATCAATTCTAAATACCAGTTGATGCAGCGATGGGAACGACCAAATTAAAGCCCTAAGCCTCGGCTGTTGTGTGACCATTTTTGCGTGTCACCCGAAATGGCTTGGCTCGATCCCAGTGAGCAACACTTGGCCAACCCCGAGTTGCTCTGAGTCGAAGATGGCATCCAGGATCTCGATTCAGTATTCATCGAGGGCAACTTCATCCATGGCAATCAAGGACCCCAGCTCCCCAGCCGACCGTTATCGGGCTATGCGAACCGAAGCAAACGTGTCTTGACTTGTCGACAATCAAGATCGCTGGCTTGGAGTTTGGACGCCAACTCCGATTGGCATGACCGCCCGCTGGTGGACCACCGGCATTCATCCAGGGCCCCAACAACCCCCATGCGACTCCGGCTCTGCCGATTTCGACTCCATTCACCGAGTGCAGCGACAAGGACTGGCGTGATGCGCGGGGAACCTAGCTCGGTATGCATCTGAGGAGTGGGACGAGGTCAAGAAACTCCGGCGATTACTTGAGATGTCCGCCAACAACGCACCAGATCCCAGATGCAGCGGGGAACCGCCGATGGCACCACCCCACCGCCATGCATTTCTAGACAAACTGCTACCATCTGACACCCGCATTGGTGGTCTTGGAGGATCGGATCGACCGTGAAGCAAGATGTGATGCAGATGGGGACGGGGAAAAACTCCGCGACGCGCGCGGCGGCCCCGAGACGCCACCCTCATGGCATATATGGCTAGTCTCGGTGCCCTGAGTTAGTCCTGGTATCTCGTAACCAGTCGGACTTGAATGGCACACTCATTCACCGTTATGGAACAATTAACAACACCGCCCGTCAAGGCGGGAATCCAAACCGTTACCCCAGCCCACACAAGGAACACATCGACCGCGTCCTCAGATACCGCATACACCACAGACACGGCATACACCGCCGACACATTATACACCGTAGACGAGGAGAAACGCTTGCATCACGCGTCGCAGGGCTCCGTGTCGTCCATTGACAAGGGCAAGCGGGAGAGTTACTCGTCCGTCTCGTCGGATCTCGAGGCCCAGAATGCCGAGATCGACGACTACGCCCAGAAGCGGTTCGGCTTCATCCGGTACACAGCGCTCAACGTCTACCGCCGCCTATTCAGCATCGCTTTCATCGGCAACGCCATCGCTTTCATCATTCTCATGGTCAAGGGGACCGCCCCCCTGGACCTCGTCAATGCCGCCGCTGTCAACCTGGCCGTCTGCGGCCTCTGCCGCCACCCGCTGGTCGTCAACTCACTATTCCTCACCTTCGGCGCCGTCCCGCGCTCGGCGCCCATGAGGCTGCGCCGCCTCGCCTGCAAGATCTTCCATCTCGGCGGCGTCCACAGCGGAACCGGTGTCGCCTCCTGCGTCTGGTACATCGGCTTCGCGGGCCTCTACACCTACCACTTCACCCCCTCCCCCGTCTCCATCGCCGTCCTCGCCCTCATCTACTTCGTCCTCGCCCTGCTCCTAGCCATCATCGCCGTCGCGCACCCCTCCTTCCGCGCCAAACACCACGACTACTTCGAACTGACCCACCGCTTCTCCAACTGGGCCATCCTCGCCCTCTTCTGGATCCTGATCTTCCTCCTCGGCGCGCAGGAACCCGCCGGCCTATCCGCCTTCCTCATCCACCTCCCCGCCTTCTGGATCCTCATCCTCCTCACCGCCGCCACCATCCACCCCTGGCTGCTCCTCCGTCGCGTGCCCGTCAAGGCCGAGCCCCTCTCCCCGCACGCCGTGCGCCTGCACTTCTCCCACGCCACCGTGCGCTTCGGCCAGGGCATCAGCGTCGCGCGTCATCCGTTGGGGGACTGGCACAGTTTTGCCAGCTTCACGGACCAGTTTGATGCAGAGGAGACCAAGTTCTCGTGTCTGGTGTCCAAGGCGGGCGATTGGACGCGGCAGGCCATTGCGCAGCCGCCGACAGTGTTGTGGAAGCGGGGCGTGCCGACGTACGGGTTTGGGTATGTGTTTCGGATGTTTGAGCGCATTATTGTGGTGACGACGGGGTCCGGGATTGGGCCGTGTCTGTCGTTTATTGAGGATCCGCGCAGGCCGAGCATGCGGGTCGTCTGGCAGACGAAGAGCCCGTTGAAGACGTATGGGCAGCGGACGCTGGATTTGGTGAAGCGGATGGATGAGGAGCCGGTGGTGATTGATACGTCGGTTTCGGGGAGGGTGGATATGCTGCCGGTTGTGCTGAAGTTGTACAAGGAGTTTGGGGCGGAGGCGGTTTGTGTCATCAGTAACCCGAAGATGACGAGGAGTTTGGTGTACAGCTTGGAGACGAGGGGCATTGCGGCATATGGGCCGATCTTTGATAGCTGAATGGTTAAAAAGGGGGTGAGAGGGTCATCGTCACGGGCTGGGACCTATGTACGGGAGGGCCACGATGAGAATGGGTTTTACGTCTGACACGGGATGGATGTATGTATATCATGACAAATGGCTGGATCTCATGGTGATGGATTGGGGGAACGCGAAAGGTTACGGTCAGGTTTGGGAATTAGCATGTCACTGCATGGCTTACGAATAACGAGATGCAGTTCGGTTGGTTGATGATCTTCTCTTGTCTGCCTCATCCAACTTTTGTGTCTCGTCAGCCGTCAACTTTGATTTTGTACCGGATGATTACCGAGCCCGGTGGCGCCGAATCATCCAACTCTTATGCTGGCTTGGCTGCATTTCGAGCTTTGATTTCCAACCTTTCTCCACTGTAACATTACTAATCCTTTGCGATGTCGCCATCCACAGCGCGGGCTTCTTGACGATTTAAGCCGACCATCCCCGAAAGATGCGTCTCATGCAAGCTTCGATCCGATCTCAGGTAGCAATTCTCATCGCATCTTAACTGTTATCCCAACTCAACTGTCATCTTATCCTAAATCTTCATACCATCTTATCTGATCTCATTTCATTTCATCTGATCTTCACATTTACACTCAACCACCTACACACCTAGTGCTACAACTACCATCACCAACCCCTATTCACCACCCAAAATCCCAGGCCAACCCCCCACCACAACAATGACCACAACCGGCGAATTCCGCTACCTCGATCCGGCCTCCCTCGCCAGCGGCACCAAACCCTGGACCAAAGTCGACGGCGCCCACGCCTCCTTCACCCTGCGTGGCGAGCCCCGCACCGTGACCAACGTCCGCGACCACCTGCAACCCAACTCCCCGCCCGGCCACCTCGGCAGCGACATCGACGTCGCCGGCTTCGCCGTCTACCACGCCCCGGCCCAAGAAAAAACCTTCACCTCCGACGCGGCCGTCCGCGGCGGCTACTACGCCGAGGTCGAGGCCCTCCTGCGCGCCAAGCTCCCCGGCCGCATCGCGCGCGTCGAGATCTTCGACCACACCATCCGCAAGCGTGACCCCACCGCCCCGCGCCAGCCCGTGCAGCAGGTCCACGTCGACCAGACCCCCGCGGCGGCCGAGGCCCGCGTGCGGCGCCACGTGACGGATCTCCCGCCCGACGAGGTGGATGCGCTGCTGCGCCGGCGGTATCAGCTGATTAATGTGTGGCGGCCGATCGGGCATCCGGCGACGGATTTCCCGCTGGCGGTGGTGGATTGGCGCACGACCAGGCCCGAGGAGCTGGTGCCGGTGGATTTGTTGTATCCGTTGCATCATCGGGAGGGCGGGGATGATGATGATCGCGGGAAGGAGAGGTTGCCGGATTTGACGAATAAGGAGAGTACGGAGGGCTATGAGGTCAAGGGGGAGACGTATGGTGTGTTGCCGGGGGAGGGGCATCGGTTGTATTACGTCAAGGATATGACGCCGGATGAGGCGATGTTTATCAAGTGTTTTGATAGTTGGGGGGAGGGGAAACCTGGTGGGAAGAAGGGTGTCGCGGCGCTTACGCCGCATACGGCGTTTGTGGATCCGGCGACGCCTGAGGGAACCAAGGGAAGGGAGAGTATTGAGGTGAGGTGTTTGGTGTTTTACGAGGAGTGAGTAGGTATCTAGACAGTGTCTATGCTAGATGATACAGATGGAGTGCATCCCGTCCCGCTCATCAAGACACGGGATCGCTGGAGCATCCGTTGGTCTCTCTGCCTTTAGTAATAATTCCGTCGTGGTAAGATCCGGCACTCTGGCAAAGCCGATACGCTCGAATATGGCCTTCCCTTTTTCGACCACCCTGAGGAGCAACATCGCGAGCCCACCAGCCACGCCTTGTGGCACCATGAGCTTCCTGGCGAACATCGCGAACAACATGTTGTTGGCGTTCTCTTCCTCAAAGCCCGTGTGAAAAAGGTCGAGACAAACTTCTAGTGGGTATGCGGAAATAGCTTTACCCATCGCCGGCTCAACGACCTTGACGCCTTCCAAAAACATATCCCATTGCGAGTGTCGGTTTGTTTTGGGGCTTATGCGGACAAGCTGCAACTGCCTCAGCGCGCCGCGTAAGCGAATCCACCCCCACGTCACTGCCCCATAGACATCATCTGTCAAATACTCGAGATGTACCTCCTCGACCTTGATGAGGGGATGCTTGAGGAGCTGCGGCCCCGGAGCCACTGGACCATCAATCGATGCCCAGGACCAAGAAGGAGCGCGGTATTCCGCAGGCCGTGACGTCTTGCCGTAGAAGTGGCTGTTTCGCACCCGCCAGAGTAGCTGTCCTTGCAAACAAGCCCGCCACATGCCGACTACGTACCTATCTTGGAGAAGGGCAGCTATGTGTTTTGCAATCCCGGAGACGGCAACGAGCTTGTCGCTGGGGACCGTCAAATCACACGCCGTATACTCTTGAACCAGGCAAGTCCAGAGATGGCGGACCTCAACCTGGATTGTGGGATTGACCATGTTCTTGAAGATCCTGTGATCCCTACCCAATAGGTGTCGTGGGATCTGTTCCGGGCAGGTCTCCGTAGCACAGTTTTCAAGGCACTCCCAGAGCACCTGGCGCTTATCAAACTGTAAGACGCGGGCGGAAAGGAAGCGCTCCTGGAGAACCCAACCCCGTTTGTTGACAAGTGCTCCGGAGATACTTCGTCGCCAGTAGTCCAAGTCGTAGACGCGGAAAAGCTGTGTCTTGTGGTCGCCACGGCCGACCTGGAGTTCAATGACTTGTGGGAGAAAGCTATCCGCATCCCTAGTATTAAACAAGGACTCCAGGCAACCGTTTGCATCGCCAGCTGAGATGTTGCAAAAGGTATTCGAATAGACTTTGTTCATGAGCGCGGACTCCTGCTGCCAGTCCGTTATGTCATCCTCGTCTTGGAAAATACACAACAAATCGATCCAGATGTAATGGATACCGAGCTCGAGCGAGACGAAGATGACGTCTTGCATGAGCTGTGGGAGTGATCCAAGCGAGACTCCCTCGACTAGCTGGGGATATGTGTGTTTCGTGAGCCGGAGTTGTTCCGTTGGTCCCCAACGATGGGATACAGTTGTGTATCGCCCAGACGGTACTGCTTTTGCCGTTTCTATCAGACATACTCTCTGGCCCGCCCACGGCTCTGCGGTGTTGGTGACGCGGCTTAGGTCAAGGAGGCGAGTTGGATACCAAGTCCCATCGCCTGAGCCGGCCCTGCATTTTCCGTGGTGTCTAACACAGCTGGTAACCCAACGCTTAGCCAAGTCTAGCGTTTCCGGTGATCGGGTATGGCGAGTGAGCGTGACGGGGTGCTGGCTAGGATCTGTCTGTAGTTAGCAACTTAGCCGTCTGGTCGGCGCGGTGGGGTTTACCACCATAGCGGGAGGAAACTTCACCATCCAAGGGCTCCAAAACCAGAACACGGGTTTTCCATAAATTAGACGGGAGTCGAACGTTGATCCAATGCGCGGCTTGCTTCGACATCCCCCCAAGACCGGGGCTGCTGAATGCTGTACCGCCGCCCACCCGAGTCGTATTCTCAAAAATACCCTGCTCTTCAGGCTCCAATCCCTCCCAAAGGGCAATGCAAACACTGCAACGCTGTGCAAGAGCCTCTCTGAAGCTCTCATATGTAGGATGATGCTTGATACCGTAGGACATTCGGACCCTCTCGTCGCTCACATCTTCCTCTGGCCGGTGTTTGAGACCTACGGCCCAGGACTCGTCAATGCTGGCAACACCTTGCAACGCGTCGCGGCATCGATCGCAAATCATGTTGATTTCTAACAAGAGTTGAATACCTAGGCTGGTTAGGGCTTAATCGGGATCGGTGAGGTTGAGGAAGAGGACTGCGGGGTTTTATGGTTGGCTCATGTCCCGCCCAGTCAGCCTCGGCGAGTACCTGTCCATTAAAAGCAAGGTACATCCCTAGGCACCTATCCACGTACCTAAAGACCAGGCGCCCAAGCCCCAACTCTGAGGCCGCCGGCCGGGCAGGGCCAGGAGGCGGAGTCCAAACCACGGGACATACATGTAATCGCCTACCCGCCGAGATACCTCTGTAAACTGAAGTGGAAAATCTTAGGTGGCTAAGGTAGGTACGTAACCCAGACTATGTACCTAGGCAGGTCGGTACCTTGAGTGGATAGGATTTCTAAATGAGTTCGTATATGCATAGCCTTGCGATAATTATTGGGCAATATCCAAAAATATCCCCATTTAGTGCAGAAAAGCGTAGCATTTTGTCTGCTGGGAATAGTTCTACTTCAGTCTTTCTGTCATCAAGGCCGGGCCGCATTCCATAGATCCAGCCCGAAATCCACAAAGGCTTTAACAGAGTTCTCCTTCACCTCTGGTGTAGAGTTTGGCGTCCTCAAGACCTCCAGGACTTCGCTCATCTTATCCAGCTTTTCCCAGACCTGGACAAACTTGTTGGGCGTGACTTTGCCGAGACTAGCAAAGGCGCGCTTCATCTCGTCGGGCCGGGCAATCAGTTCTACCGCGTTGTCGGGGGGGATCCCAAATGGAAGACCAGTGCTGGCATTCGCTGTCTTGGCCGCAAGAATACTCGCCTTGATACAGTAGATTATCATGGCGGCGAGCCCAGTTGCCAGCGCCGTGGCAATACTGGAGCCCGTGGTTTGGACCTGGACCTTCGACTCCGGGATGCGTTGGTCCCCTCCAGCGGCGGTGTCGCGTGGTTCCAGTTCCTGGGTTACGCCAACGCCCGGAATCATATACGTGATGCCGTCTTCTGCTGACCACGGAAAGACAGAGCCGTCAACAGGCACGGCACCGATGCAGAAAAAGCGGTCCCTCCATGGACCACTCGGATAATGCGTTTCGGTAAACACTCCGTCGTACGCGGAACAGAACATTAGGACGTTACGCTCTACAGCTGTTTGCAAGACTTTGTGCACTATTGCGAGGAGGGTCAGAAGCTGAAAGTGACATTATGAGCCGAAGGAACACGGGTATATGGAACTCACGTTGTTTAATCTCCTCGGCCTCGCCTTCGGCGATTGGTATCGCCCATGCCATGCAGATAATAGTAGCCCTCTTATCCAAAGCTGCTTGGATTGCCTACAGCACTGGGAGTCAGAACAGGGTGGTTCTCTCCACACCCGATACTTGTACGTGTGTTGTACATACCTGGGCCGCATAGCCCGCATCAATATCGCGCGTGTTTCTTTTGTAGTTCTCATACGTCTTGAGTCGTATCGGATAGACCTTTACCATAGGGCAAACCCGTAGAATCATACTAGCAAGTACAGTACCGTGGCCCATTGCCGACAAGAATGACGGCTTGGCCTTCCCCTCGTGGAAATCAAAACTCTTCCCTTCAAGGATTTGGCCAGTGTGAGCGGTGCCAAACATGTCAACGCCGTCGTCAATAAGCGCCAGAACAACATCATTTTCGAGCCTCTCTCGCGTGGGCCTGCCCTGGTTCGAGTGCAGGAAGTCTATGATTGTGGCTTCCCAGAAAGGGGCCATTTGATCGGCGAATCTCGCTGTTGAATCCAACCACCGATGTGAGTTGGTGATTGTACCATGAGAAGATGTAGCTAAAGGTTGTACGTCCGTGTCCGAGTCGCGGAAGCTCACTCTAATGTAGTCAAGCCCGTTACTCATGTCAGAGGTCCCGAGATCAAGCTTCAACTGTTCCTGAGCTTGAACCCGAGCCAGAGGGGCCTGCCGGCTGACATTGAGTCTGACCTCAAAGTCCTTAACTTTGGAGGCGATCCATTCGGGGCTGTCGTACGTCTTCTCTCCGTCAATTCTTCGAGACACACTAACGCCATACCAATATGAGAAACGGGGAGAGGATAAAAATAAAACAATCCCGTACCTGGTGAGTAGGTGGTGCGATTAAGACTATCTCCTTGATGTGGGGTAACATGGCCAAACTTCCCGGCTCGCTCCAACCTCGTAACACAGCGTTACTGCCACTCCACCGAAGGTGTAGCTGCCTCAACTGCCGATCCGGCACAATTTGTGTCTCGAACTTCGTCGAGTCCTCGGGCGTGGGGATTTTCTTTTCAACTTTGCTGCTGACGCGGAGAATTGTCTCTGGGTCGAGGTCTGTTTTCTTCCAGTCCAGATGCTCCACGATGAATCTCTCAAGAGACGTTTGAATAGCCTGGTCGCTGTGAACCCTCTCCCCGGGCTCTGCGGACTCATCGACGGACAGTCTAATAATGTGGCGGACGCCCTTCTCATACAGCCAGTTCAAAAAATACTGCATGTCTTTGCGGCCAAGGGACCCAGATTGACGTTCGGCCTCCCGTTCGAGGTCAGCCTGGCGACCCTTCAAGATGACTTCAACGCGCGGAAACGTCACCAGCTGCAGGACACTCTCAAATCGGAGACCGGACCGGGCGGTCATGCCGAATCGTTTCACAAACTCTTTCCATACCATCTTCGTTGGTAGCTGGTCGTAATCAAAACTGATTTGTATATCTAAGGGGGCCCCACGAAGTTAGCGGAACCGCAATCCCCGGTAGATGAACCGATATAGCGGCGAAAGTCCGCTTACCATCGGGGTTGTGACCGTAAAGCATCCTCTTCGCCTGCTCCTCGGTCATCGTACGCAGGATACCTAACTTCAACTCTCTCTCGATCTGATCGGCGGTCTCCGTGGTGACAATGATTTTGTGAGTCAGCTCTTTCTTTTTGGTTTGCTTCTCAACGGGTATTTTGGGGTTCTTGACGGGCGTTTCGACATGTTCCTCGCGAGTGAAGACGTGATGCTGGTAAGGCGAGAGCCCATGTGGAGGTCTCGTGAGAATTCGCAAGGCCCCTGCACCTCGCTTGAGCAGTTCTCTGACAACCTCCAGTTGTGAAGCGGAGCACATGTCGTAGGACACAGCTATGTGGAGCGGTGTCAGCCCGTGCCGATCCTGGCTGTACAGCGTCTTCTCCGATGCTCTCCGGACCAGGCTGACGACGATCTGGTGCCCTAAGTTGGCTCTAAGTGCGGCGTGAAGGCAGTTATAGCCGTAATCATCCCGGATTCCCAGGAACCTATCGATATCCTCAACCGCTTCAGCCATTGCCGTGACAAGGCGGCTTCTCCTGTGCAGTATGGCCACGTGCATCGGCGTCCTCTGCTTTTCATCCTGAACTTCCATGAGCTCTGGGTGCTCCTTTACAAGAAGACGGACGAGTGCTGCGGCTTTCTCCGTTTTACAGTTCAAGGCAATCTTGTGTAAGATAGTTGGGTTGCCGCGGCGCGTCTTGTTAGGGTTCAAGTGTGGTTCGTATCGGCGGAGAAATTCTTGCCGTTGATCGAAGGTAGCCAGATTGACGTTGTCGTCCCGTAACCGAGACATTATTTCGTCCTGAGCTTCCATGGTAGCCTCGCTTGCAGAATCAGAGCCGGTATCGTTGTGGTCCTCGACGGTCATTCCACTTCGAACCCCAAATTGATCCGCCTCCGCACTGCCTTGCCATGGTACTTCGGGGTAGAAGTTAGCCGTGTCCGTCTCGTCTGCGCCAGTCTCCTGCAAGCTAAGCTCCTCAGACATCACGCGTATTTGTTGTGTAAGGAATGAGGGGGGAGAAGAATCCTATCCTAGACGGTTGAGAAATACGGAACAGGCGAGAAGGAGAGAGGAACTTCGTTAGCCCCTCGTCCTTTTTTCTGGCTGGGGGGCGGCGGATGTCCGAAGGGCGCCACCAATGGGGATAAACCCGACTGGAGTTAGGTAGCATCGGCGCGATGCACTGCTGACGTGCCGTCTGAGGACATGATTAGCGAGGTTGGTCCGCGAATGAGGCCGTGACGAAGCTGCATGGCTTGTGTTCAGCTCGTCTGCAACAGGGAGAGCCAGCCAAACAGAAAAAATGCGAGGCCTGTCTGCCTGCATAAGTAGTCCTCTGGTGGTACTGGGGTGTGAGGGGACCCTACATGGACCTACACAGCAAATGCAAATAACCAGAGATTTTCTATCCTTGATTCAAAATTGGAGGACTCAGCCGACGATGCTGAAGGTGCCTAGGTGCATTACTGGTTTGGCAACTCGGACAGCAGACTTCTTGGAGGGGGAGAGTAAAGACGAATCAGATGATGCCGCCCCTCGCGCTTCTCATTTTTTCTCTCGCCGTTCCTGTGCGTGCACTGGACGGATCAGGCGGACCGCAAGACTGGAACGACTTTACCAACAACTTTGCCACTGACCTTGCCCCCATCATCGTCCTTTTTGGGGAGCAGGCGTCCAAGCAGTTTCTCAGTGAGTCCACTAGCTTCTGGGATAATATCCTCTTCGGTATTGCGCCAATTGGCATTATCACCGCCGTTATCTCGACTATTCGCCTCTACGGAAACTCTTCACTCAAGGCTTTTATCGGCAGGGCGCAGGAGGCTCACGGGGTCGCCGAGGCAGAGTTATGTTCGTCTACCAGCGACGACGTGTGCGAGCTGTGGTCGAATGGAGGGATATGCCGTGTGTTTGGTCGCCCACGGATCTTGGAGTTCTTTCACATCAAACCTCAAGGCTCCGGCGCCTTCTATCCGTCCTTTGTGCGCCAGGTAAATACGAAGAGGCCACCCTCATGTGGCTTGTACCCGCCTCAAAGTGTTCTCTGCGGTGACGAGCTTCCGCCCGACCAGGAAAATGCCGCCGAACCATTGCCAAAAACTGGCTGGAGGGAAATCCGCACGAAACGCGCGCCGTTGCTTAGCGCCATCAACGCACAAGAAAGAGGCAGGTCCAAAGCCTTTGCACCCCGCCCAAACCTGAGCCTGAATATCGGCATCAAGGCCGTGCCGCCTGGCCTCCTACACATGACCACTTTGCTCGGGACGGTCCTGCAACTCAGCTTTTTCGGCTACGCAACTTGGGCCACCTTCTATTATCCCGACCTCTACAAGGGCGAAAGCTTACCGACTCTATGGTCCTTTTGCCTTGCAATTTCTGGGACCGTGATATTAAGTATAGGAATGGTATGTTGTGCCATGCTGATCGAGAAAATGTCGACGGAACGGCGGTTCAAGAATGAGGTACGTTCAACAGAGAACAGACGGTGACTTGCCGGGCTTTGATGAACCCCTTACCGACTCTGGTGGAAATCACAGAACTCCTCGCAGGAAACCACCATGTTTTGGCTGCAACCCGGAAATCAACGAATTGGAGACCAACTGTTCAACGCCTTTGCATACTCTGAGAACAAGGAGTCGTTCATCACGTCCTGGAAGGTCGATCTTGAGCTTGAATCGGAGCGGCTCGGGATTGTCCGTCTCAGCAAACACACTTTTCAGCTCTGGGTGGCAATCGGATCATCTACGTGTGGATTCATTTGCCAGTTCCTGGGTTTACGAGGATTACATGGTTCGGTTGCGCTATACCAACTAGGAGTCACCCTCTGCATGGCAATTGTCCGCTCGTTCCTCCGGTCCGGGCGCCTGGGGGCCAACAAAAATAATGTCAAGCAGCGTAGAGACGTCGAAGGGCACGAGCTTGACTGGCAAGCGATGAATCTCGAAAATCCCGATAAGGAATTCCAAGGTCAGCCAAGATCCATGTGCCCCAGCTATCATTTCACTTAATCCCTTGATTCCCCTCCCATTATTGTTCTCTCCGCCAACTGACGTGTCTGCATTGTGGCTCCTTGTGAACAGGGGGCTGGTACATTGACGACCTTCCTTTTCCCATGCGAAGGCCAAAAAACCGCCCTGAACAAGAAAAGCCTGACCTTGGGATCAAGGATGTCGGAGTCGACGTGGCTCCGGGAACCCAGCAAATTGTCAGCTTCCATCTCCGGCGGGATAGGGACCTCGACACGCTCCAAAGCGCAAACGCAGCAGTCTCCTGGATTAAGCACAATGAAGCAGCTGAAGACCAACCGAACGAGGCAGCGAGGATACTGCATTACAGAGCATCTTTGGCCTATTTGACGGGGAATGCCGTACGAGCAGCCGAGCAGCGGTGGGACACCGAGGTTCGAACCATGGCGAAGCTGCTTCAAAGAGCAATACAGGACGCTGCTGAGTACATATTCTTGGAAATGGCTTTGCTCAGGGGGTGGAGAGACACCCGTAGTCTGGCATGGTCTACGACGTGCCACTTACACGAGCGCCTGGAGCCATCCAACTCCTTCAGCCCCAATGGTCCCGCGACGCAAGAACGACAAAGTTTTCCCATCCATTTTGCCATGTACCACAATGCTGGTGTCTGGGAAATCAGCGAGTGCGAACTAGAAGCTGCCCTGGGTCTCTGGTATTGGTCTGTAAGTCAACTGCCCTGGGCCAGTCGCTCGTCTCAGAGAAAGGTCTTCATGGTCGAACGGGCCAAAAAGAAAAACTCGCTCATCTCGGCAATTCGCCTCTGGGTTACGCAAACGCACCATATAGAGCCCGTCGACGTGAAGATTCCTTGGTCGACTACGCCCCAGCAAGCCGACGATCAGAGCTTTTGTCGAATTGCCTCCACGGCACTTTCACAACGCGACGACGGCAATCCCCAGGCTGCTACAGACGACCCCGGTGCGTCTTGTTGTTATCCCACTACTCTTTCAATCCCGTTAATGACCCTACTTGAGCCATCTGTCGTTCCTCAAGAGGCCAGTAGCCATGGTCCAGCTCAGGGCGATAGTCAGCCGGATGGAATCTGCCTCTCCATCGCAACCGAGAGCTCCTTACTGCAGCTGGTTGCGCAGGATATGTTCGGCATCTTCATAAGCAGAATCGCAGATATATTGGAGACGCTTGATGTTGCAGAGCCCTGGACTCGTCGAGGCCAAATACAGCCTTTTGGAGTAGGAAACACCGTGGCAGACGACTCGTATACTGGGTTGACCAACAAGCACATCCGAGCTCTTGCTGATGTCTTTGTCTCGACCGGACTTGGGTCCAGGGTAGACGCACTCATGACCATGATCCCGCCCCTACTACAAAGATTGAAGCTACCCGACACAGACGAGGCTATGGAATCACTCCTTTACACAGCCAAGATGCTGCGGCGTAACAACAAATTCACCCAGGCTGAGAACCTGCTCCGATGGCTGATCGACAACGTGCCGCAGCGGTTCCAGCAGAGAGCCATCAGAAGTCTGGGCGAACTCTATCGCAAGGCGGCGCGCTCCAGCGATCCCTTCGACCGAAACTTTGGGCGGATTGGCTTTGAGGCAATGGCAACCATGGAAGCCTTGTCCGACGGCCGAGAGCTCTTTACCGAAAGCCAAGACATTCTCAAGTCATATCTACTCGCCTGGGACGCCTTGAGAAACATAGGACGAGGGGCCAAGGGACCGCTGAGGCCCCTGGTGGACACTTTAGACGCAAGCCCGGCGAGGCCGCTGGGGTTGTACCTCGTGGACAAGTATGATGTCGAGGCGGCAGAGGTGGAGGATTTGCGATACCTCCTTCGATGGGCCATCAAGACCGGGTGTCAAGAGTTGATAGAAGACTTGTGGAATCACACCAAGGTCTTGGCCGCGAGCTGGGTGACCGGGCCCGCTGGGGGCTTCAGCGACACCATGTCATCCCCGCTGTCTGACGAGCGTGGTGGGCCATCATCGCCCCTGTTTTGGGCTATGGAGCTGGACAGCGCCGCGGAATCCGATATCGAAACTATGGAGACTCTCCTCGACTGGCCGGGGCTGTATCCTGATCCAAACTGGCACGGCAAAACACCCCTTGTGGTCGCCAGCGAGGCCGGCCAATACCCTGCGGTCGACTTATTACTGAAGCGCGGAGTTTCACCAGATTCTGCCAACGGGTTGGCCTTGCTACTGGCAGTCAAGAACAAACATTTGCGAGTGGTTGAACGATTGCTCCAGGGAGGCGCAAATCCCAACTTGATTACTACCAACATAGAGGTAGACGGTGTCGACGGGGAGAGGGCGACGCCGCTTCACCTAGCCGTAGGATGGGACAGTTCCGTGGTCGAGCTACTTCTGCAACACCGGGCCAACCCCGAATCTCCGTATTACTCTTGCGGCAAAACTCCGATTTGCCTGGCCGCTGAAATGGGGGATACGGCATCCGTAGAAGTGCTCTTGATGCATGGAGCCAACGCCGAGGCAGCGGATGACAACGGCACCTACCCCTTACTCGTAGCAATCCAGCGTGGGCATGATGCAATCTCGAAGCTGCTTGTCAAGAGCATGTCCCTTGTCGAAGCATCCCGGCTATTACACGTGGCGGTTCAGTCGGGAAATACAACCGACCTCGATCTACTGCTAACACACGGCGCAGACATCGAGGCCAAAGATGACCTGGGACGGACACCTCTCCTTGCAGCAGTCGAAGAGGGGCGAGAAGAAATGGTCAGCACGCTGCTGGAGGCCAAGGCAGACCCCAATGCGCGTAGCGCGGACAACATGAGCGGGCCATTGCAAGCTGCCATCGAGTCGGGCAATTATGGCATCATTTCCCTCCTTTTGGACGCATCGTATAAAGCAAACGTGAATTTCCCATTGATGGAAGGGGAGACACCCCTGGCGTTAGCCGTGGGACTCGGGCAACAGGAAACCGTCAAACTCCTGCTGCAGAGGGGGGCGAATCCCAGCGCAGAAGACAAAGACAACAAGGATCGGCACTTCAACACCCCGTTGCATCTCGCAGTAGCACAGAGCAGCCCGGAGATTGTGGACCTGCTACTCGAAGCAGGAAGAGAAAAGCTAGAAACCAACCTCGAAGCAAAAGACCTTGACGGCCGCACACCTCTCCTTCTAGCTCTCCTCACGGAAACCGCCCACCACAACCCAGCCAACGAGCTCATCGTCGAGCGACTCCTCCACGCGGGCGCCAACCCCAACGCCACCACCCCGTCAACCACCACCGGCAGCAGCGCCCTCCACCTCGCAGCCACAATCCCCCACCACGCCATCATCACCCTCCTCCTCCAACACAACGCCGACCTCGAACACCGCGACACCCAAAACCGCACCCCCCTCCTCGCCCTCCTCGACCAGCCCTTCCGAACACACCACCAAAAAACCGCCGCCCGCCAACTCCTCACCGCCGGCGCCAACCCCCACGCCACCACCGCCACCACCACCACCCCCGGTACCACCGCCCTCGCCGCCGCCGCCCACCACGGCCACGAAGACCTCGTCCACCAACTCCTCACCCTCGGCGCGGCCGTCAACGCGCCCGGCGGACGGCACGGCACCGCGCTGCAGGCCGCGGTGTGCGCGGGCCAGGACGAGGTCGTGCAGATGCTGCTGGCGGCGGGCGCCGATCCCTGCGTGCCGAGCGGCGGGGGGGCGTATGGCAGCGCGCTGCATGCGGCGGTGGCGGGTGCGGTGGTGGGGACGGCGGGGGGTGGGGGTCGTGGGATGGGGGTGTTGGAGAGGGTGTTGGGTTGCGGAAGGGGGGATGTGGAGGTGCGGGATGCGGGGGGGTTGACGCCGTTGTTGTGGGTGGTTGGGGTGTGTGCTGGTTTGCGGGCTCGCGGCGGTGGTGATGGTGGTGGAGGAGTGGGGTGTATGGATGGTGCGGCGGCGGTGGTGAGGATGTTGTTGGGGTATGGGGCGCGGACGGAGGCGGCGGATCGGGAGGGCCGGACGGCGTTGCATGTGGCGGCGGGCGTGGGGGATGTGGGGATGGTGGGGATACTGCTGGAACATGGCGCGGACACGGAGGCGAGGGATGGGCGCGCTTGCACGCCGCTGCTGGTGGCGAGCGAGAGGGGTCATGGGCATGTTGTTCGACTGCTCTTGGATGCGGGCGCCGATGTGGGCGCCGAGGGTGGGAATTATGGCACGGCAATGCAGGCGGCGGTGTATCTTGGAGACCAGGATATGTTACAGATGTTGGGGAAGGGATACGGACGCTCAAGCGAGGGCTATCATTAATATATCTGCCCATCCTGGTTGAAATGTCTCCCACGGGGACAAGAGACTGGGTGGAGGTTACGTTTTCTGTTCTTGGCTAGGTATTATATCATTTCTGCACCGGGGTTCTACACGTCGTCGAGCCCCCGATGCTCAACTTTGACAAAGTTATGTGAAGAGGAAATAATCTGGGCCGGTGCAGACTCTGGGGCCATACGGCTCATGTCGTCCGCTTGGTTCGTGGAAGCGATCTGGGAGTGGAAAAAATCAGGGGTCCTCTTTTACACGTCAAGCACAAAGTGTGCTGTTTTGGTATTCCGGTGGCCAAGCTTTGGCAGCGCGGTCGCAACCTTTAGCCTTTACCGGAGCCCTGATTGTAAGGGGGAGCTACGACGCGACCCCAATTCTAAAATACCTACGGGGCGTCGAGGGATCAGTTTCTTTCGCAATGTAAAGAACTGTATTCTTTATTCTCAAATCCGTTGAGGAGCTCCTTATTATTGTGGTAGAACGATATAAACAAAGGGCTTTGCTGGCAGATGGAAGGAATCAAACTCCTCAACATTCAACAGCATCGTGGTACGAATACGGAAACAAAGATGTATGCTGTGAAGGCATATATATATATAACCTTTCCGAATGTCAAGATTATTGCCCGGGCACCTCCTTCAGAAACACTGGCGCACATCCTCATCGCGAGTCACATTTTCTACACACCTGATATTCAACACGCCCAGGAGTTTCTCGTGGCAAACCATCGCCAGCCATGTCAATCCAATTCAACACCAGGGTCCTGGCTCTCATCCTGGCCCTGTCGTTGGCACGAATGGCGGTGGCCCCCCCAGTAGCCCAAGACTATATTCGGCCCTAGAGATGCAGAAAAGGACAGACAGGGCGACATTGCTCTAGCTGCATTCGCGGGGGGGAGTGTTTTTGTTGTGCTATTGATTATCTGCGTTTCAACTTGGTGTCCAGACGACGCGACTCGCCGCGCCTACAAAAGGAACAAGAATACACAACGTGTGCCCATCCGCTCTACCAGAGACCAACATGGAGAGGGTATGCCCAACGGCTCCACCAGGGACCAACATGCGGAAGACGTTCCAACCCGAGGGTGGAGGGACGCCATTACTCGCCTTAAATCGGCATATAAACGTCGGGAACGTGTCCAGGACTGTAATGAAGCATCGAAGTAGTTTGTCGCCCAACGTCTCACAAACAATATAGAAGGCGTCTCTCGAGCCAGTGCCCGTCTCCAAAACTATGTGGCAAATTAACCCAATAACTCACCTGTCCCAGTCCCCAAACGCCGTGCAAGCCACAAACCGGCGAAATATAAATCCGTCGCCGGCCATCCACCAACGGCCACCGTCAATAGCACACGCACACATGCCACTCCCGAA